CTTTGTCTCCTCTGTGTTGACATTAGGCAAGGCAGGATGTTTTGTTCCTGCCTGTGTTGTATTTAACTGCTGACTTTTGCCATCTACTTGATACTTAGGAAATAGGTGCATAGCAAGCACTTGTAAGAAGATGCAAGGTTGCATCCTGCTAACAAGCCAACACGTGATACAGGATGCTCTATAGCTAATGGAGAGCTGAGGGCTGAATTCTCTTGCTCCCTCTGATACCAAGTGTATTTCTTATGTGTTTTCATTGCTCTGAAAATAGCATGCAGACAGAAAGTTGTAGGAATTAATCACACCTCATCTTGGTAAGGGCTGGAACTGCTGCCATTGCCTGGAAACCACTGTACTGATGAAATACAGGAAAATACATAGTGTAGGTTGTGCTGATCAAAGAAGGAAAAGTCCATTGAATTAGACAGACAGTTGCCTGACAATCTGTGAAGCCCATGCAAAGCAATGTTCTTCTCAACTTCCCTTATGAATAATAACCTGTGCTTAAATCTCTTCCAGGGCTCATCTGTCTGTCAGGTGACAAGTATAGGAGTGACTGTTATACTACTTTATACCTCACGAGCCTGTTACAACTTGTTCATCTTATCGTTCTCCCAAACCAAGAAAGTCAATTCTTTTGATTATGATTGGTACAACGTGTCAGATCAGGCAAGTGTGAAAATATTTGATAATGAAAAAACTCATTCTGTAAGTGATTAATTTTTTAAATGCTATCAAAAGAGGAATTAATATATTAAAACCTTTTTTTTTTTTTTAATTCAATGCCCTAAGATTGTTTTCCTCCAGAAATACAAATTTCTGGTAATTTCAGCTTAAGGAAGAAAAAAACCCCACCTTCAGTGCTAAAAGAAAGAGGTACACAATAGGCAAATAATAATAATTAAAAAAAACCTCAATCTTTTATCTATCTTGACTTTATTGTTAAAAAAAGGTGCCTTTTATTAAACCAGGCAGTTATTTTGTCCATTAGAAAGACTGTTCTGTACTTGGAGAAACAGAAAACCAGCACCTGATTCCTCTGAAATGCTCAGTTCTGAAGTCACCACCAAATCTCCCACTGGCATCCTGAGCTGTGGAGTTACTTACTTTAGTCCTGTCATTAGCATGACAACTTCTGTAGTCTGAGGATAAGACTAAGACTCTTCCCAAACTTTAGTTGCAAATGGCAATTCAGCTCACAACCTAACAGTGATAAAAGCACAGAGGGATATAGCAGGGGATTCTTCACTGAATGTTATGAAACTTGGGCATCCAGCTCCGTTCTCTGCTTGGAAGCATGTGGTTAGATCCCCAAAGTTTTCCAGCTCTGTCAAAGCTAGGCAGAATGGCAGGCCTGCATTTGGACCATGGGTATATTTTTTTGGCCTCAAGTTCCCAGACACTTGATGTCTCCCCATCCTCTCAGCAAGCCCCTGCATTCCAAAAGCAGTGCTCCCAGCCTCGCAAGGGCATTGTGTTGCCAGGGTGGCCAAGCAAACCTGGAGCCATTAACAGTTCTCTGTTGAGCGGTAGATAAAACTGTAGATGAGAAGCAAGGTAAATGGTAGGGTAGGATTGCCCAGAGGACTTCATTATGAGTTAGTTGAGCAGGGTCTGTCAAGGGGCCAGGAATCAACCCTGCTATGGTGCAGAGAAGGGGAGCGCAGCAAGGTGTTCTCAGGCCATGTCACTAGAACACACAGGTTTAGGCAGAAGGGCACTAGATTGGGACTTACCTCCTGAATCAAACATTTGCCCTCTTGCTGCTGGGGCTTGGAGTGTCACTGCTGCTCCTGCTGAGCCCCTGCAGGGGCCACTTCTTGTGCTGACTCATGTAGTTTGGAATAACAGGGGCTGGAACTTTATGGTCAGAATATTTGGTCACATTTTCCCATGGATGCAGAGGTTGTTCATAGGGAGCTTACTGGAATGCCTTAGGCCTTAAGTCACTGCTACTGATTTTTGAACATCTGGTCTGACTTGTTGCCTGGATTTTGGGGTAAATTATTTGAGCCATATGTAAAGGGCCTGAAACTAAGGAGCAGGTATTCAACTTGGTACCAGAATCAAAAGTCGCTCTTGAAAGTATAGCCCAATGTTTGTACTGTGGTACTGCCTCAGGTCACTGTCAGAAACATTACCCTTTTCCCTTCTGTACACAACACAGAAAAGGACAGGATTTTCCCTCTGCAACTATGGTGAATGGTGGAGGGGAAACCTAGAGAGAAGTTCAAAGCTAATGCCAGAATAACAACATGGTTATTCAAGCTAACAGTGTGTACCAATTTGAAGGGATACAAGCCTTCATTTTTAAAAGCAAGATTGCCAGGAATGCCCTTGAAGACCTGGGCATGAATTGTTTCTTTATGTATTATTCCGAGCTGGAAAAGACTGGAAAACTAACTTCTCATTACCTGCATTTGATCACTTGATCAAACGGTTGCTTGCCAGGCTCTTAGGCTAGGAAGACCCCTGCAGTAAACTCTGATTTTGCTCAAGCGAAGATAGCAGGAGGAGGAGGAGGGAAGAGGGAAGGTAGAAAGAAAGGGATGTACCCAATGAGACAGTGTATTGATTTTCTCAGTATGTCTTTAATCATTAGGCAGGTTAATCTGGCTTTACCAAACGGAATTTCTGGCCATGTTGTCCAGCAGTTCAGCCACTTAAATACAAATCTTTATAAGAAGACATGTTGCTCCTGCACCTTTAAATAAGCTGCCGTCTTTGTTTCTTTTGAACACTTTTCTCTCTGACTTTTAAACAGGCAGATCTGAAATGTCAGCTGGGAGATGCAGGTTACATAGTGTTCGGAGTGATCCTTTTCATCTGGGAGCTCTTGCCTACTTCCTTGGTTGTGTATTTCTTCCGAGTCCGAAACCCTACAAAAGATCTGGTAGGTGGAATTTGTTACTGTATTTGCTATTGTGGTGTCCAGGCAGGTCTGGAGGCTCAGCTGCTGAAGCAGCTTCTGCTTCTGTACGTTTTTGACTTTTTTTTCCAATGTGTCCTTGGCAGAATAAAAGCAACTCAAACATCCCGCTTCCTTATACTAACTCCCCATGAAAGAAACTCATTGTATCTACCCAGAAGGAAGACAAGGTGGTTGGTTCTCAGGCAGTTTCCCTTAAAAATAGGAAGCCATCTTAATGTAGGGACATCTTCCCCTTGAGTTAATACAGTACTTTACTGGAGTCAGTAGAAAAGGAGTTAGTTTGTTACCCAAACTTGGGATCTTTCACCACATAGCAGTGAAAATGTATGTGTGCTGACTGTTCAAAAGCATGTATGAAATAAAGGATTGAATTCTTTCAGCCGTGCATCTGTTTCCATGTTAAAGACCAATGCAGTAATAAACACTTGCTGACATATTTGTCTGCTATTTCAGCTGAGCAGAGATTAAGGTGTGAGTTGGAAGGATAATTCCCTGTAAGTATCCTTAATATTTAGGTAGTTAATAGATGGACAAGCATTTTTTTATAGCTGTAGGCAATGTCTCCAGGTTAGCATAGGATGTGTTGGTTGAGAGGCACATGGGGAATATCAGCCCTGCACTAGGATTACCAAGGTAATATCTCTGTTTCCATAGGCCAAACCAAAGATAGTATTCCCCAAGATGGATGTGAATGGTAAATTCACAAGTAAGAGAAGCAATTAACACAATAAGCTTTTACAGAAGGCGGTTTTTATTTTCATATGCAGATTTCAGAGACAGTAGTAAAGTCAGGCTGATGTAACACCTGACAGCACAGTTAAAGGAACCCCATGGGCCTCAGTGTCCATCTCAGCCCCACTCCTGCTGAGGAGTTACCCAGGACAACTGCAAAAGAAGAGATGTTTTAAAGGACAGTCCAGTGCTGCTGCTCTTCTAAAAAGTGACCCCAGAGAGTTGTCATTTTATTTAAAGTCAGTTTAGTAAGGCTGGACCTGGTGGCCAAGCTTGGATAGTGTGGGAGAGATTCCCAAGAAGATGAAAATAAGGGATGTGGCCTAATCTCTCCTTTCCAAAAGCTGGTCACATACAGACTTGGAACCTACTCAGATGAGGGCTGACAGAGTCAAACAGGCCATATTCTCTCACAAGTCAGAGAGCGCTGCAGTAACAGCTGTAATGTTATATTTTTGCATTGGGATTTGCAGAAAGCCTTAAATCTCCAACTTCATAATGGTACAGTTCAGAAGAGCCAATCAGTGATATCACTTCTTTTATGGGTACATTTTTTAGGGTATGACGTTATCTGTCATAGTGATGAATTTTTTTCTACACAGTAAAAATATTTATGTTAAACAGCAGCATGGTAAGAGGAAAACTGGGAACAACAAGTGTTAGAAAGAAGCAAAAAATGGACTCCAGCAAGGCAAAAGTGAACTTCAGTGCAAGTGTGCCACAAGAGGGAGGCCAAGGCCCACAGGACCCTCGGTTCAGTAGGCTGCTCCAGCAGGCTGTTACTGCAGTTAAACACCAAATTGGCCCAGTAGGCTGAAAACACTTGACCAGAAAACATGGGGTTAGAATTAAGACAAACCTTTTTTAGTTAAAAATCCTAACAACTCCCATTTAGTGAAAATCAAAAATGTTCGTTAGTAAGGAACAATCCCAAGAAATAGTTGTTCTTTGGTGTTAAGTTTCTCTCTTCAGAAGGTTTGAGTAGAGACATCTTGTGTTCACCCTGGAAGGAGCTCTCTGCCTGCCTTGGCGCTGACACAGGGTCAACTGCAGCGCGCAGTCCTTTGCCTTGCCACACTTTCAGCCAGACAGTTTGGAGCTGGGGAGACAGCAGAGGTGCACCTATTTTTATTTCATCTGTGTCAATTCTTTAACATCAGTAACATAGGGGGAGATTAAACTGCTCTCCGCTTAAGGCCAAGATGTTGTCCTGGCTTATCCGCAGGTGCTGGGAACCCTGTTCCCTGGGGATGGAAGCAGTGGATCAGTGGAAGAGGCTCAGCGGGGTCCTGTGTGTCCCTGTGCACTACTTCCAGAATCAGACTGCCCTTTTGAATATTTTGTTGTTGTTTTTTTTTGTTTTCGGTTTTGATTCATAGGGAAATAAAAGCAAAACGCTTTGTAAATGAAGGCATTACATGTATATCCCATTCCCTGTTTTATCAAAGGGCCTTTCCTTGGGATTTGACTCCCAGAGCACTGTAGAGTAGATATTGAAATTGCTCAGAGAGATCCTAAGGGGCTTTCCAGCTGTGGCTTCATGAGGCAGGTGCCAAGGTTCAGCATGAGCAGTTCCTGAGGCAGGGGATGTAATGCACCAGGATAGAGGGTTACAAATGTGGGGGGTAAACCCCAGTCTCTTTAGGCATTTCCTATCTCGCAGCTCCTCAGCTGCTTCCCTACTGCTCACTCCAGGCTGAAAGTGCAAAGTGTCCAGGATGGATAGGAATTCAGCAGCCAAGTGAAATGCAGAGCAGAGGGTGGTTTCAGGAATAGGTTCTATCTGTTGGCCAGAAGGAAAAGGAAAAGCCGTTTGTAGACTATGACTGTGCTGGTAGAGAAAAACAGAATGCAAACAGCCTATAGGAAATATAAACCTGCCAGTTTTACTTTGGAAACCAGGAGGTAAGTCTGCAGTGACATCTTTTAGAAGCCAGGCCCCAAGCAGTTGATCTCTCTGTTGCAAATACTGACTGAGGTTTCCCTTCCCCCAGGCCAATGCAGGAATGGTCCCAAGCCATGGCTTCAGTCCCAGATCTTACTTCTTTGACAACCCCCGCAGATACGACAGTGATGACGACCTAGCATGGAATATTGCACCACAGGGGGCACAGGGCAGGTGAGGTACACGAGGGAACTGCTTGCTTCCCGTAACAGAAACTGGAGGAGGAAAAACCCTTACACACAGCAGAAGACTAATGTAAACTGTCTAGCTCCAATTGTGGCGTAAATTCCAGGGGGTGAGGGGAAGCTAAAGTGGAAAGCACTGAGCCAAGGGCTCTACAAGGAATGCAAAGAATAAGAATGAAAACATACTATAAGAATTGTAACAGCACTGCCACCTTTTGAAAAACTCAGGTCAGACCTTTGGGCTGCAGGCTTCACCCTCTGTTTCTTCCAAAAGTGGCCTAAGTGCCATTCACTATTTTAAGTGTGTGAGCAAGGCAACCTAGAAAAAGAATGCTGTCTCCCTGCTCAGGGTGAGTGGGGAAAAGCTTGACAGCAGAGACAGCAGCTTGTGATGCTGGTGAGAAGCCTCTCAACTTTGGTTGCCCTGTAACATGGCTACATGTCTTGGGGTTCACCTGAAATGAAGGGGGCATTTGCTTTCCAGCTTGCTGAAAGCTTATTTGAAGCCACCTAACTGCCAAAATCCCACACAACCCAGAACTGGGGTAAAAAGTCAATTCTCTCTGTGTAGCTATGAGCTTTAGGTAAGGATTCCCTTCCAGGAAGGAGCAGTTCCCAGCAAGCATGATAGCACCCTGTTCAGAGAAGGAAAAGCACTGCCAGGACACTCTCCTGCCCAAAAAGGAGCTTGTCACATTACTCATTCACTGTTCCTGTATCTGCACTATGGTAGTAGTAGATTAATCAGTCATCTTAAAATGAAATCTAACCTGGATATAGTTCTTGTCACTCGTTTACCTAAGATTGTGTAGTCACTGCCTCTGAGCCCAAACTACAGTTCAGTACAGCTGGATATTCACTATTTGCAGTTATTGATCATCCTACCCCCTATTTCTGCACTTGAGTGTGAGAACTACCTCTATGTGGTTGCATGTTCCCCACATTGCCTAACAGGGTATATCTACAGAAACAACCTGCCAGTCACAAACTTTCCTGTTTCCTTTTCCAGTTTCTCTCCAGACTACTATGACTGGGGCCATCAGAACAACAGCTTCATGGCTTACATCGGATCCCTCCAACATGATCCAGCCCTGGACACAGACCGGCCAAGCCCTATATAACTTCAACCAACTACAGCGTCCCAGGACATTCCAATATTAAAACAAGTGTTCTGCAAAACAAAGCTTAGCAATTTTTCACCTTTTGGTTTTTAGAAGTGTTCCTAAGCACAGATAAATGAAGAACTTGTCTTTGCCACAAGCTTTCCATAGCTAAAGGAAAAGTATAAGCTAATGATTTAAACTTTGAAGACTGTTCTAATTAATACCTTGTTCTAAGCCACAGTATTTTTGGCTGTGAATAGAGTTGTTAGAGCACATAATTTAATCATTTTATGCTCATTTTAAAAGAGCAGATTTCATGAAGTGAAATGGCATAATTATTTTCTAAGTATTTTTATTTTTACACTGTATATTAGGTTAGAAATACATGATTATGGTAAATATAATGTAAGCAGCTGAATTGGTTGTTCAGACGCATGACAGCAGCAATTCTTACATGCACATGAAAGCCTGTACAGGAAAAGTATCAACCCGATTAAAGACTGTCTTTTCAACTTATTGCTACGTTCTCAGAGCACAATTTACTCTTTGGATCATCACTGCTTAGTCCATGTGGCCAGCTGGTTGGAGGCTAAAGGTTATCTACACTCTAGCTACCACCCCAAAACACACGACATTTGTTTAAGCCGATTGTTATCTTCTCAGCAGCTGGAGGGCCAGTCTCAGAGCACAGGGATGGGCATCTGCTCTGCTGGGGCATTGTGAACAGCAAAGCAGGCTGAAAATTCCTATGTTTGAAAAGTTAGTTATGTGATCACCTCTGTCAATCAGCTCTAGGTATATTATGTAGAAGAGTAAGCCAAATACCTAGCCAGAATACTGTAACAGTACTTAGTTATATATTAAAGACCTAGGAAGCACAGTCTGTGAACAGGGCAAGTGCCAGGAATACATACAGCAGAAAAACCTCAGGTGGACCTAGAGGATAAATTCTGTATAACTAGAAAAAGGTCAGCCAAGCCCTGCTTCAGCCTTGTACGTTCAGGGCTAAGTGTGGGGGTTTGGGGTGGAAAGGGTAGATAAATATCATGCTAGTGTGTGACATTTGCACATAGATTTAGTGCATAGCATTAATTATTTTTAGGCTTGCTAAGGTGAGTAGGAACCCCTACTCCAGGTCTTTTTACTGTGCCCAGTACGGACTAGTATGCTCTACTGTGAAGTACTCTACACCTCAAGCATCAACTCCTCCTTTCCCATGTGAAACAAATACTGCCAATCAATTCAGATTTCCCTAGGAGAAAATCTAATTTCTTTTAGTAATATTTACTTCTATAAACATGTAGTTAATTTTGAGATGAACTACAGCATCCCTAAATGGTGGAACAGGCTTGATGTTTTCCTCATATTCAACTTCAGAAAGTACTAGAAGTAGAGAATTCTGGTACACATTTCACAGAGGATAAAAAAAGAGATGGGGACTAGATCTGATCAGGTCTGTTTGGAAGCTGAAAGCACAGTAGGGCCACATTAATATGACAAGTCTTCCACAGTGTCTTTGATTTCTGTGGTAAACCCAAAGTATAAAGCTCTGGCAGAAGCAGAGCACATCCTGCAAACCCTCCAAAGCTCCAATTAGTTTCTTCACTTCCTACCAAATGTTCACTAAAGGAAACAAGCCGATTAAATGATCAGCCAGAGACTGAAAAAGGTGCCACGGCACTGGGAGAAGAACAATAATTTTATTAAAACCTTTGGAGTTCTACGATCATGTTTGTACAAAACTGCCTGACAACTTCATGCAAGAAACGTCTGCAGGAACTGCATTTCTTCCACAGCAGGTAGAGCTGCACAGCTAAAAAAAAATCAGTTATGAGAATTCTGTGCTTAAAACAAGCCTGATCTTTGTGTCCCAGTATACACAAGTGTGGAACGGCAAGAGACTATAACCAAGCACACCAATGAATTAAATAGTCTCAAACCACAGATTTAAACAACAATGGGAAAGGCAGGATCTTAAATTAAATCACTATAATTATTACCACCTGTGTAACAAGTACTTACCCACCTAAACTGGGGATGAACTGTGTCTATCACATTTATTACGGAGATAATTTGTTACAAATGCATATGTGGAATGAAACAGAGCACTGCAGAAACCCTGTAAGGGAAATAATTTCACATGAAGAGTCCCACTGGGTGAACCAACCGGAACAAATAGTAACAAAATTGATGTTATAAGCTATGCTGAGAAAAGGACAGAACAGACCCAGCTTCATTTCAACGTAAGCCCTTCTGCCTCTTAAAACGATTGAACTTAAATAGAGCTAAACTGGGTCATGTTCATGCAGAAACATACTTCTGGGACATGAATTTCTGATGTGCCTACACACACACACACAATGCACTGTAAACAGCAATAGACACACAGGTTGCATTCACCTTCTGAACAGCATTAAAGTGAGAACAAAAGCCTGCTCATCATCTTAAGTTTAAATGGCTGACATGTAAATAATTTACTTGATTTCTACCACATGTAGTTGAAAGGTAAATGAAAAGGTAAAAAATACAACCCAATTCAAATGAAAATCAAAAAATTACATTCACAAAAAGAGGTTGTAGCAGAAAATACTTTTAATTTGCATTTGATCAATTTAAACGTAGCAAAGATTGGGAAGTGTTCAGATCTCAGTAAGCAGTTCCAACATTGATTCTGGTTTTAATAAATATTACATTTTCCTAGGCTAGCCATATGGAGGAGCTGTCAGGTGATGAGTTGCCAATTGCTACTTTGTAAACATAAGCATCTTGGTTATTCACAACATATTACAGGTCATTTCCCAGAAAAGCACAAAGCAAGGTCACATAAAGGCAACCCAACCATCCAAACTCAACTCCAGGAAGTGTGGCACAGTGTATTTCATATACATACAATAACATACAGCACAAGTCTCCAGCTGAAGTAGGGAACCACTCCTCCTAGCCCAGCTTACACAAGTCTATTTCACTGGCTTGCATCTATACTCTCACCTTCCTCCTCAGGCACTGGAGAGGAAGTTGCTCAGCAACAGCGCCCTACATTCTACCTATGTGGTCTCCACCAAGTCTTTTTTACCATTTCACATAAGCCTTCATGACTTGGGAAGAAGGAAATGTGCTTTGTCTTTGTCTTCTTGTTACCTCTGGGATTACAATCATTGGGTCATTTGTTCAAGGAAATGTACTTCAAAATGAACAACAGACAATGTTGACAAGCTGATCTCCAATAGGGAGCTGGAATCTGAAATAGTTTACAAGTCATGGGCAGTGTAACTAACCTTGTTCTTTAGTATAAAAACAGATCTGTAAGTTTCTAAAATTTAACATATAAAGAACTAAGCCATCCGACTCGCATGGCAAAACTTCATAGGCAGCAGAGTCACAGAATGTACATCAAATACAGTAAAAAAGATGGTGACAGGAAAATTGTTTCAACTAGATTTGTAACCGGAAAAACCTTATGTCCTATTCCTACAATGACAGTGAAATGAAACGCCTTTCTTATTTGACCACCAAGCCAGATGTACCTTCAAACGCAACAGAACTTAACGCACACAGAGGATTTGCTGGTCAGTTGCACCCTGTGTTTTCATGAGACAAAGGAAAAGAAGAAAAGCTTCCTATCTCTATGTCCTTACCCAACAGCATTAACCGTTAACATTAACTACCTGCAGTGTGCCAATGAAGGCTGCAAAGAGCAGGTGACCAGGGCCATTCCCATCCCATGAGCAAGCACATGATGGTAGTACGTGGTGCTGCTTCAGTGTCTAGATTTTAGCCAGGCACAGGTGGAAAAAAAAGTAGCAAGTTGCACCCCCAGAATAAGGTTGGGAGCAATTCACTTTCCCTACAAAGCAAGGGGGAAAAGGAAAGAAACAATTCTGAAACTCTGGTCCTTCCTGGGGCAGCACAGACAACACTTGCTTTTCAACCAGAAAATCCTGCCTCAAGCTTTAGGCACTATACAACAGAGAGAAATCCCAACTATACAGCATTCTTCTCACAGGTGAGCCTACAGGTTCTAGCCTTTGCAGGTCAATCCAAAAGAATTAATGGCCATCTGAAAACTACGCTATGTCAGTATATACAATTACTCAGAAGAGTTAGATACCTGCGGTGTAACTCCCTTACCAAACACAACTATTCACATCTGAGCTAATTACCCAGAGTCCTACTTCAATTTAATGGAGAAAAATGAACTCCTGGGTGCAGATGCAGAGTTCAGAATAAACCAGATGAAACCACCTAGAAATCACCCGCTCTTCTCCACTAACTAGAAAGAGGAAGCCTGCGGTGATGTGCTCAGTCAGGCGAGTGCCCACAGGCAAGAGAAGCTGCTAGGTAAGACTGGCATCAGCCTTCTCTAACACCACGTTAACTACTGGCTTAAACAGAAACTTCCCACTGGTTCATTGCCAAATTGTGAAACTACCACCAAAACCTGGGGGAGGTGTCTGGTGGTTTGTTTTGGGTTTATTTTTTCCTTTATTTTTTTTCTTATCCCAGTTTGACTCAGGAGGGTTGACTTCCTTGAAAAACAATATTCATTCTAGTAGCAAGTGCCAGCAGGATAGTCTGTCATGTTTCCAGTCAGGTAGAAATTTGAGGCTAGTCTGGAAACAAAGGACATAGAACATATTCCAGCTTTCAGACAATCTCAGCTGTAAAATACCACATTACTGAAGCCAACACAGTTACAATCAATTATATAAAGAGGGCACTAAATATCTGGTAGGGTGAAAAAAGTTTAAGAGCACTTTATTTTGTGTTTTAAAAACAGGAGATGCATCTACGCTGTACCAGCACTTCCCACATTCCTAACTTCACTTTGAAACATGCTGGTTTAAAACAATTTATTACTTCCTTTCAAATTAAACCAACATTTGGTTGCTACTAATCAGTTTCTGGATTCTGGTTTGGACAATGGTAAGTTACCACTGACATCTGTGGACAATGATACATGAGTAATTTCTTATTTTATGAATGTTATTAACATACCCGTTTTTTTACACTGAATGTCCTTTTAAAGAAGACAGTTAGGGATTGCATAGATAGAGTATGCGGTGGTAAATGTCAGTGTGAATGAATTTTAAAAAGGATCTTTTTTTAAAAGTCACTACAAAAACACAAGTTGTTACTTTTTGCACTGACCTTGTAAGCACAGCACTAAAACACAACCCATAAAGAGCAAATATATTTCCATAGCTCAAAGACTGAAATGTGCTATTTTAACATTTCAGACATCAAAAAGACCATTTCTGGAAACTGAACCTGTGATTACAAACTAGAAAATAAAATGTGGTGGATGCGAATTTGATTGACTGAGGCTTTCCAGCCAGCAGTGCTCCACTAACCACCCCCCCGCTGGACCACTGCGCCCCCAAGCAAATGCAGGTAGCCAGGGGGCTGCAGAAAAGTCACTTTGAGCTGTGCTGAACCAGAGACAAGGCAGGTGTTTTAAAGGAAAAAGGAAATTGTGAAAAGCAGCATGAAAGGAAAAAAAACATTGCTATTAGCACAATGCAATAGAGCCCGTTATGAAATGCAATCTCTGCTCAATTTCCATTAAATAACTTTCCTATTACAGTGAGAAGGCAGAACTCAACAGGAGCCCCACTTCCTTTTTGATTTTATTGTTTTTCTCCCCTCTTTTCTTCTTTCAGACAGCCAGAATCAGCATAACCCCATCCCCAGAATATACTGAAGCTCAGTACTGGGGAGAGGCGAACACCCTCCCTCAGAACCGGCCACGTCAGGGGAGAGGTACATATGTTTTCATATAAAACAACTGTCTCAGAAAGGCAAGGAAATAAGAACATTTATGAAGTTTCAGTACAACAGACTGTGAGCAGAGAACTTAAAAATAAACAGATCAGCATAATTTACACATTTAAAAACTATAATATTTCATTCATAAATATCTCCTCTAATTAATAACCATTCGTAGCTTAAACATAAATATTCAAGTTGGTATTCGATTTTACTTTTCTCAGTTCATGTGAGTCCTGTAAGGATTAGCTCCTCCTGCTCAATGCAGTCATGTAAATGGTCTTCACTAGTGAGTTGTGCAAAGGCCTTCATTACCTCGTTTGTTGTAGTAAAACTTTAAAATTCTGCAGCTCTTTTATACTTGTGGAAAGCCTGTAAAGCAAAAACCCTTCAGTGTTAGTAAGTCAGCTGTGAAAGAGAAGTGCAAATCATCACCTTCCATCCTTCCGCGGGGGCTTTTTGTTTTGTTTTTAACAAACACAGTTTTGTTGCAAAAGATGAACACGCTTAAGATACTGCTTTCTCTCGAAAGATCTGGCTCACCATTGTATTTATGTATTATATTACAGGGATTAAACTATATATATATACACACACTTAATGGTCTTGACTTCATTAAACTCTAAGCAGAGGTAATAATGTTTATTACATTCCTTTAAACAGGAACTGATTGTTAAATTCAAGATGTGAGGAGCTAGCATGATGAACAAAGCAAGTTCTATACATCTTTTAAAGCTGTTAATTTATTTCATCACTTGAATAGGATAAAGTTTTAACAATAATTACATCATACACAAATATCCAAAAGGCTAAGGGCTAAAATGAGAGTGTTAAAAGTTTCCCAAGTACTTTTCATTTCTTTTCACTACGTTTTACATGCACACATTTAAAATAAATACAAAACGTAGAATAGCTGTAGTCCATGCTCAAAAAGGAGAACATGTACTCAAAGTCTAATGATTACTGGTGTTTATGAGACTTAAATCCAGCTCTCACAAGATGGACTTTATGAGATTAGAGATAGAAAGATAAATTAGATCCAAACACAGAATGATGACCAAGGCTAACATATCAACACTCCACATACTCAGTTTTAATGGCATGAAGTTTATCAGTATCACTAATCCAGCCTTTAAAAAGCTAAAGCTACCTGTAGAGTGCCAACTTTCCATAGAACACGAGTGCTGACACTGAAGTTGTATGTTTTTTCTACAACACAAATGGTAAGACCTTACCTTCCAAAGGCATTTACAAGAGCAACTATTTCTTGACGTGTGAGCTGAAAACCTTTTGATGGGCTATTCTCAGGAAGGCTTTGTATTTCCTTCTCAGAAAACAAGATTTTCAGAGCAGTTCCTAAGCCTTGAGTCTACAAAGAAAAAAAGTGCAGTGTTTTTTGTTTTTTTTTGCAGTAAGATCACTCCTCCAAACACTCAAGAAACCATAAAAAAGGTAAAAAATTACTAATCCAGGCAATTCTTCTATACTGACACTCCCTTTACCCAAAGAACTATACACCAACAAGGACACAAATGCAAACGCTTGCCATCGACTATGTACCAGGTTCACTCACTTATTTGAGAACATTTGTTTCCCCAGGTATACTTGCTCTTCATCCTCATGTATTTGATCTCTTCTTTTCCCACCTCTTTTATTTTCGGGCACAGCAGATGCATATGAAAACATGCCTGTTACATGACTTCCAGTCCCTCCTGCCTCTTGCTTTAGAGATGCTCTGCTGTGGCAGGAGCTGTTGGATCAGCTCACCCCTTATCCTCTTCCATCCCCCTTCAAAGTCAAACTAGATTTTATTATGAGGTATCACAACACTTCTGCTTTTTCCACCTCCAGTCCTAGGGGCAGACACTGCAGTTTCAGTTTCAAATCCTATTTTCTATACAGAAATAGAACAGCAGAAGCTATCCTTATTTCCTCTTTTAATTGGACAACAGAAAAAAAACACTGGGTTTTGACAAAAAGTGGTTAAGTCTGGCTGCAAGAGAATTTTATAGGTCAGGGAACCTGGTCCTATTCCATTTTGAGTGAAGGAAAAAACAACAGATCAGAAGTGTCCACTAGGCCAGAGTAGGCAAAACTCCAGAAATTCAGCGGAGACCACCAAATTTTTGATGTTGTAAATTTCTTTGAAAACTGAACTCTGATAAGCTTAATGCTACAGAGGAATATATAGTACAGTAGAAACCTCACAGGAACAACTATTCTCTCAGCCTGGACTTAACAAGATTTTAAACCTCAAGAATAATGTTATTAATAAAATGAAAACAGTAAGTGTCCAGAAACTGATATTGGTTTGCAACTTCCAGCTTTACTATGCACCTCTGCATTCATTTGCTGCCTTCTGCGTAAATTGTGAACATCTGAATTGCTTCTTTTTCTTATGCCTCCATTTGTAGAGTTAAGTCCCACACTGGATTTTCTAACAAGTAAGCAAGTGCTGTATTTCCAGGAAGGCTTCCCACAGGTGATTCTACAGATACGATACTGACTGCCAGTAAAACTTTGCCATGAAGCATCTGGTTTAAATAATTTTTGGTTTTGTTTTTTTTTTTTTTGAGAATAAAAACTATAGCTTTTAGTAAACTAAACAGCTGTTGGCTAAACATAACGACCCTTTTTTTGAACTCTGTTTTTAACAATGAACTAAAGATATGTCCTTTTTTAATATACAGGTAAGGATATCAAATATCAACCATGTACAGAAAGTCTGAATGCTAAGGTAAGGGGCATCCCGGCAGACTGAAACAAATGCTTACCTTCTAACCTCCCCCTCCACACAATAAACTGTACCTGTAGTTTGCCCCACAGCCTGCATTTGTCACATCCAACACAATCCATTATGCGGGATATGTTCTTGAAATGCAATCTGAATTCTTCCTATCCATTAAAAAACAAAACAAACAAAGAAAAAGGTTAACTTAAAGTGTCTCTTAGCTTCGCAAAAACACAAGGCTAACTAATCTAGTACCACTACAGTATCAATTCTCTAGTACTAAAACTAAAAAACCCCACTACTTTTGTGGTCAGGCCATAACCAAGTTCCACGTAAACCCAGAACTTTGTTTACAAGACACTGCTAACAGTTAATTCCATAAAAACCAAACAAACTCAAAAAAACCCCCAAAATACAGAACATTCAGGGTAATACACTGAATTTCTACCAACTATCTCAAAATGTTCTGAGCTGTAAGTACTGTATTTGTGTCCCTAATCCGATTTTTCTTCTATTATTCAAATCCCTTTTGAACCAACTTGCCTTTCTCATGAGCAGGAAAACATGTTACAATTCACAAAAGACATTTCCGGTCCAAAGCTATGGGTAGCTTGCTGCTTTGCAGCTTCAGTCAGAGCAAAAGCAAACACAGCACAGAACTAATTAAGATGATTTCAATTAAATATTTAAGGTCAGAAAAACACCAGCTGAGCTGATGATGGCACCCTTCTAACAGCATTCTCTCTAATGCTGATGAAATTCCATACTACTAGTGAGATAAGTATTAAAAGTGTTAACAAGTATTAAACCAGACTTTTTTTACTGAGGCACATTCCAGGTGTGTAATTGTAGTGCATACCAATCTGAATACCTGCATGTTAACACTGGAAGTTGCTAGGTAGTAACAACATTCACATAAGGTTCCCATGTCTAGGAACTATGCTTTTCTAATATTAAATGTAATATTATATTGCATTATATTATACTATTGTGAGGCCCCACTTTCACGGTCTGTATTCGTACTGAAAATCAAGATCAAGCGAGCTTTTGCCCTTCTGCTCTGCAGGAGGTTTCCATCCTCCCTGAGCTCGCCTTAGGACACCTGCGTTATGCTTTGACAGGTGTACTGCTCCAGTCAAACTACCCACCTGCCGCTGTCCCCGGAGCCTAAAAAATCCACTGCGCAGGCTGGAAGGGCTTACTCTCACTTGTCTGTAAGGACAGGCGAGGGTCGAAACGGTAGGTGACAAGGTGCATGGGTAGCTGCAGATCCAACGCTGCATGTGGGCGGACCAGCACATGGGTAGCTCAAGATGGCTCAGGAGATGACAGTCCTGGTCGGACACTTCCTGATTGCCTAAGCACCCTTTTTTCCAACCAGATTTGCATATCCCACATGCCCTTGGTCATCGTGCTTGTAGTAAGCATGGTTAAAGCCCTTCCCAAATCTTTGCTCACGAAGCCAACCCACCAATCAATCAATCAATCAATATTATACTATAAAGGGCATGTATTTTTTTAAGCAGACATCACTGTAGCTGCATGGAGACCTCATAGCAGGCTTCCAATATCGGAAAGGGACCTACAGGGATGCGGAAGAGGGACTCTTCATCAGAGACTGCAGCGATAAGACAAGGGGCAATGGGTTTAAACACGGGAAGCTGAGGTTCGGTATAAGGAACTTCTTTACTGTGAGGGTGGTGAGGCAGTGGAATGGGTTGCCCAAAGAAATGCTGAATGCTCTATCCCTAGGAGTGTTCAAGTCCAGGCTGGACAGAGCCTTGGCTGACATGGTTTAGTGTGTGGTGCCCCTGCCCATGGCAGGGGGGTTGGAACTTGATGATCTTAAGGTCCTTTACAACCCTAACTGTTCTATGATTCTATATTGATGTGAAACAGGTACTATCTAAAAAAACACCATTGTGTCTACTGGTAATCCAGTTCAACTCATTTGCCTCACCACAGTTCTAATGGCAGACTCAAGGCACTAAACCACAGATTTCAGTCTGCTTGGCTCAGGACAACACATCATATTCATTTATTATAATGTAGATTAATTAAGAGGCCTCAGATATGATTCTAAGTTTTTTACCCCAGCCTTTTCCCCTCTCTGCAGTACATTTCTGGTTGGTAGAGAGATTTTCTAAAATAAGGCAACTTAATTCCAAAATGGGTATTTTGGATGCGATTCAGAAAACAAACTTTACCTTTAATGACTTGGCTCCTTTTTTATCTCCAGCAAACATGGACTTTTCATCAAAGTGCATATGGAAGGACCTAATAAAGACAAAATGCAAAATAAAAAAACCCCAATGCTGACATACTGTGTTCCATCAAGCTTGGTGAGCAGCTGATGCCATCAGTATGCAATACTTTTTAGAGTTCCTAGTTTTTACAAAGTAGCTCTTAAGAATTTACTGAATGGTACCAGATCTACTGCTCAATCACTGTAACTTGAAATATGTTATTTACAGTTTTGTTGAGAATTTTCTTCACTCCATTTCCACTGATCAAGATTTCTTTCTAATATACACTGCAGCTGTTTTAAATGTTCACCTTTCAGTTGATTGTTGTCTGACCACATCTCAAATACCTACCAAGACTGTTAGCAGGGACAGCAACAAAACCATACAGAATGTTACAAATCACAAAAATTAGCAAGAAGGAACCAGACTAAAAAACTTTACAGACTAAACAGAAGAAAGAAGAGATAGCTAAAACCCCGGAAGTCTACGATAAAAGCTGGATTACTCACTGTGTTCTTATACTGAAGAATCAGCGAAAGCAACAAATAGAGAGTAGTAGGGAGTTGTGTGGGGTTTGGGGGAGGAGGGGAATTTTTGTTTCATTTTTTGTTTTTTAAAGATTGGTATATTCAAACTGAAAAATATTCATATCTTCCTGTCAAATGTACAAATTCCTCTTGTTCTCCCATTACTTAATGTTATTTCTTCATTCCACTCTCCTCCTTGTCCTATCCTGTCAAGGACTCATCTGTTCTCACTTGTGAATATAAATGAGAATTTCAAACAATTCATAAAAAAAAAAAAAATCCTATGCCTTACTTGGTGTCCCTGAAGATATCCAGTAAGAGAGCTTTAGATTCAGCATCCTCATGGCCATTTCCAGTGTAAAGGTCAACAACTGAACGCTCAAAGTATGGTGCAACCTTCGACAAAGCACGTAACTCTATCAAATACAGGAAATACAAATTTTTGAGCCTCCTTGGTCCTTCTCCTTTTGTTTCAAGAGGGTCAAAGCGGCGAGTAAACTCCTTCACATTTGGTCCCCAGCAAGGCTTCCCCCATGTTTCTATACAGAGGGGAAAAAAAACAAACAAAACAGGTGAGGGAGAAGTAAAAGACACATACTTAGAATGAAAGAAACAACTAACTACACAACAAAAAATAATCAGAAAACAACAAATACATATCACAGATATTGTAGAATTCCATCCAGCAATTTTAAATAGATTTAAATTACCTTCAAGAAGGTAATTTGCACACAGATGCAAGTTGATGCTAGCATGAAGTCCAGAAATGAGCTTATAAAACACTCTTTTCTCAAGGCAAAGACCTATCCAGGAAAAAAGGCAAACAGACCCCAAATTAAACACTAGAATTAATGTATTAAAATGAATATACCTTGATATTTCAGTAATGCAAGTCCACATTGTTTAAATTTCAAGAGTTACAGCACTTAAGCATTGTTAATAATTCCTTGGGAAAAATTTACCTCTGAATTTTTTTATAGAAAGCAGTACTAAGAATGAAGTTTGACACTTCTTACTTGGTATTTTAGTGTTCTAATAAATACAGTCAAATAAGCCTGAGGTCAACTAATACAGATAAATTGCCACACAAAAATATGATGCTTACAAAGTTTGAGCAATAAATATCAAATAGCCTTGAATTTTAACATTCTGGAGGCCAGAACTATATTGTGGCATATCCTAATTAGAATTAAACCTATCACTGAATTAGCAACCTTACAGAAAAACATCAAACACCTCGGGAAACCTTCTGGCATTGGAAAACAGCAAAACTATTTCTTCCCAGGTCTACTGTAAATTCACTGACAATTTAAATACACAGAGCAAAACCTAGCAAAAAATGACTTTGATAGGTACTGACTTCTACAGTGGAAAGAGAAATGCAACAGCATTGGGTGGCCAAAACAGAATTTAAATGCAGAAATTACAATACCACTTAGACCCAGGGACAGAGATTACACTTGGAATTAAGAAGTTTGTTCCTTTCTCAAAGGTATGTTTGGGTGACTTCTCTGCCACTCCAATCTCCACAAATGGACGAAGCAACAGCTGATGGTGAAGCCCATCTGTGAGGCTGAGATATGACCTCATTTACAAACACTACTTATTAAATAGCAAATAAATTTGTATGCTTTCCTACAACAGCACCAGTCAGAGATTTCCAATGAGACAAGTGAAAGGCTTACGAGAGCCAGAACGAAATTTAAAATTAAATACATTTAACTCATTTACTTTTCCACATACCTCCAAAATGTGATTTTGATTGCTACCACTGTAATAATGTTTTCCATTTAAATATGAATAAAAATCAAATTGCTTTGCCTTCTGAACACACATTACACTCATGTTAGTTTATATACTGGGAACAGAACCATCAAAAACTTTAATTTTTTTTAAAGCTGTTTTTAAATAAAAGGTCTTAGCAATGTTATTAATAATAATGTCCCCATTTAAATGCCTAAAATGAGCAGAAAATTCAAAGCAGATGGTACTGAAGTGAACTCCCTCATTCTAAGAGGTAAAACACTGAAGGGTTTAAAGGAGCAGACCATCTGAATGACTGATATTTCCAAAGACCCTCAAGAAAAAAGTATTCTTTGAACGTCACTCAGGAGTTCTGCACAATTTATTAAGGATCCCACACTACGGAAAATATTTGGGGAGATGAAAAAAAACCTACTACAATGGTTCTTCTAGTGAATTTAACATTATATTAACCCATCCAAGAGCTTTTACCTTCTAGCCATGTGTAGAAAGATTCTCCTGCAAATACAAGGTATATGGTTAAATGAAGAGTATTCATTTTCAACATCACAGTAGCTTTGAATTACTACGCATACTGACATTAGCTGCCATCTGGACATAAAGCTAAATAACTCGGCTATTAAAGTGAGAAGAGGCACTGAAGTGGCTTAACGTTGAGGTTAGTTTAAATCTGTGGGGGTCAGAATAGGAGAAATACAAGAATGGGCACAACTAAGCTGCTGGTCAGGCATTCAGAAATGTATAGAAGCACAAACCTGATTAGATGTGCTAGCAGTGAAAAACGTGACTGAAGAGTGTAATTATATCTGATAGCCTTTATCTTGACTGTTTTCTGAAGATTTCCTGTAGGCTTAGGTCTTTGTCTGAGAGCTTTCGGCTGACTGAAAAATCTTAGTCTGTCTCACTGTAGACAGACCAAATTTTCTCCCCACTCTCTCTCCACCTTCTCAAAGGACACTCAAGAAAGTACACAAAAAAACTGTCCCTCTTCTTTTAAGTAATCTGACATCAGTATCAACCAGGCTCAGCAGGAGACCCAAGAATCCTTTAATCTATGCATCTCCAGTTACCTTGCTAGTAACATTATCACAACACATATTCTGTTACAAGGATAAGAATCAACAACAGAACTGTATTCTGCTCTTACCCACTCATTCCCCTACTCCAAATGAAAGAATTATCTCAATAAAAACATTTTTCTGATCAATCATCTGCCTAAAATCATAGCTTTCCTGCCCCTTAATGCAACAACAATAAAGCAAATAAATCAGATATCCAAAACTCTTCCATGTTTACTTCATTTCTGCAAGTCAAGCAAAACAAGGTGACTTACCATCATCTCCTCCTTAGGGGAAAAAAAAGAAACAAAAAAAGAATTAAAAATCCATAAGCATTAAAAAGGTTATTTCCACAGCAAAGCAGTAATGAAACACAGACTTTACTACAAACACTGAGAAAACAATAAATGTAAGAAACCTTATTTAATCTACAAAAAGTAGGCTACTTTCCATCTTCCTCCTCCTCAATATCACCTGAGTTTAAACAAGTAATAGTAATGAAAGTCACTAAGAATTTGAAATCTTAGCAGCTTATTTGCATACTCTTGAAAGTTATGTTTTACCTTCAGAAAGATGATTAGGAAGTCATCTTTGCATTATTCAATATTACCAATGTTCCTTTCTGAAACTCTGACTCCTGAGTTAAACTGCTCTTGAACTTCTTTTTGTGTACACCAGCAATATATGATCTTAATAGCTATCATTACTAAAAGCTATCTTGATTTCCTAATGTGTAGTGATGTTTTCTAACTCAATCTATTGGCTATTTTTAAGGGAAATGACACATACTGATGGAGAAAGTGGATTCATTTGCAACACCAGGTTACAGTTTTCAATTTAAATTTAAACACTTAAACCCCAAGTCACCGGCACACTTTTTTTACCCATTCTTGCAGATAACTGAGCCTTCCTAAGTATCCACTCTTTCTTCAAATAATGCAATTATTTGTACATTTGTAATGCACTAAATATTATGGATGAAAACTGTAAAGCTACATTATACCAAAATGACTATGAGCTAAAGTGATAATGTTCTAGAAAAAAAAACCCAAGCAAGCAACAACTCTCGGCCAACCAAGGGAAGAACACAGAGTGCTGATTTTTTTATTGAACTTTAACTCCTTCCCATCCACATTGGAAAATTACTGCAACACTTACTAAACAGTTTGAGATGTATTTTCGTTTTCACATTAGCTCCCCGACATTAATATGCCTATTCCTATGCAATAATTTTAAGCATGTATGTCATCAAGTCTCACAAATCTTTGTTTAAGTATTTGAAAATGAACAGCTACTGCTACAGAGGAAATTTAAAAAGCAGAAAGCACATCTACAGACTGAACATTACTATTTGTATCACTTCTATTGGGAAAGTCACTATATTAAAAGAAATGCATTAGAAAATAAAACGGGCAAGACCTACCCCTACTAGGCGCCAGTGGATTTAATGGACGGTAAACAGATCGAGGCCTAAAAAATAAGATAGAAAACATAAATATCAGTTTTAAGCTAAACTGAAGTGCAAATATAAAAGATCGGCTTCCCCTCCCTCCCAATTACTTGAAGCAGTTTTCTTCATAGATGCTGTTCCACACTCTCCAAGCAGAGGGCCCCTTGTATCCAGTGTAACGTTCTGGATTCAGAAGCAAATCCACATACTGTGCATCTGGAGATCTCTCATCTAAATAGGAAACCTTTTGTTACATATTCTAACTCATCAGTTAACAAAGACTTTATCTTAAAAAACAGTCACAGATTTTAATATAAATAAGAGGTCTTATATAATACTATCTTCTGGCTGGATTATAGATGCATTGTACACAAAAATACGGCAATATCCACAACAAACAGAAAGCTCGAAAGTATAGAATTTATTCCAAAGTCTCTTATGTGGCCATAATTTCTACAGTTTCTGAACATCCATATGGCTTCGTCAACTCCACCATACACACTTGTCATGCAATATGTTCTCTCACCCTATGCTAAGATATAAACAGTATTTTGTTTTAAATGGGCTTCAAATTCAGGGTTTATTTGCCTGGCAGTATTTCACTGGAAGGGTTGCTTTTCTGAAGTGGGTATACTGCTAAAAGGGCTTCTTAATAAAGACAAGAGTGAAGAAGTGCATCTTGTAGTTGGTATGTATTGTATATTTATTAGCTAGATCACTCTTTCCCCCCCACAAACCTTTGTATACTGGCAGAGAATCTGGATCACATTGCTTAAATGAAGAAACTTTCAGCATACTGCAGAACACTCTATTGGTTATGGCAAGAAAAATGTTATTTCAGTGCATTTCATCTCTGAAGTTCACTACAAATTCAAGCAAGATATCCAAAGAAAATTTTGAAATAGTACTCTCTCTGCTTAAAACCTCTATATGAACAGAAACTTAAGTTTTGAGCTACAACTACTAAAAAGCAGGAAGAATTCCCTCTTCTTTGAAATTCTAGGTCAAGAGCAACTCATGCTTAAAAAAAACCCCACATACAATACAAGCCAGTAGTCCAGAGACTTATTCATAGGAATAGGCCAAGTACTGCCACTGCATATTTCCTCAGATGTCAAAAAACACCACAGAGTGGAAACTGCTCTAAAAAGAAGAGATGATTCTGCACGAGCAGTTCAGCAATAACAGCAAGAACAAAGCAAAGAGACAGACACAAAAGACACACAAGACAGTGAGTGCCAGATGAGACAATGTCAAATTACAGCTTTATTTATTTCTTTGACAGCATGCCTGACCTAAGTAGTTCCTACACTTCCTAGGCACCTCAGGTCTCCACGCTTTCTTCTCATTACCCATATAAAAGAGAGTCTGTGGGGCACTGCAACAGAAAGATGGAAAGCTGACCTGGGCTATGAAGTTTTTTTCAGCTAGATCAATTCCTGTATCTAGTTTAACATTAAGTCCAACAAAAAAAAGTAAAGAGTAAAACTGATTCTATGGTCTTGTGCTACAGTTGAGTGAATTAAGAGCTCTCCCACTACCAGAAAGAGACAAGAGGAAGACAAAAGGGTTTCTACCTCCTACTGTCACTGAGAGTAGTTATCCTCCCTCATGTCTCTCTGCTCCAGCTCACAAACTCACTTGATAAGCCAATTCATCACAAAGATCCAGGAGCTGCAAAGCGGAGGGCAGCTTACTTTCCTGTTATTCAAATAAGCTGAATCAGCTTAACATGTGAAAAAATGAACTGGAAAAACACAGCTGAGGGCAGTAGGGCAGTACATCCCCCTTCAGCAGGGCATGATGTAAGGAGAGATGGAGTTATAATCAGGAACCACTTAAGCTAGTATATACTTCTAAAAGAAATGCTCCTAAACTACACCTTTCCCAACTGAGTCCTGAGTTGAAGACAGTGAAGAGAACTGCAGCTTATTGCATTAACAGTTCAGAACCACAGTAACGCTCACCAACTGTTTATTACAGACACAGCTTATACAGAAAACTTTCAAAGATCAGACACAGCAGAAGTGCTAAAAGAGAACTGCAGTTGGAAAGTCCACCACACCTATTACTTTCTCAGGTGACTCCAAACATCAGCCTAAAGGTAGATTAAAACACTTTCTATTATGCTCTAAATCTTCCTAGCATAGTAAACTTTTTAAGATATTTATTAGAAAGGCCTTTAGCAGTCATTCCTGAACTTGGCAATTCTCATGTTTTTCTGAAGAACATTCCTTTGACCTTTGACCATTACAAGCAAATAAAAAGATTTACATATGTGGAGCAGAGGGAAGACACAATCTAGTATCCTAATGTTTTAACAATAAGAAAGTCCTTTCAGATAACAGGTGAATTTAGTGCAGAGATCATCTGGAAACATAGCAAGGCTGGAGAAGGAACAAACTCAGTCTAAGCATAGACAGAAGAGCAACAAAAATAATATAGTAGCAAGAAACAACCAGCTGCAAGTAATTTGTGTTGTATTTGTGCCAGATGCATCTTCTTTTGTGAGAAGATTTTTAAAAATTAGATGCTAACCCTTCCCATTTATCTTCTTTTTTATTTCCATCAGTCTCCTGTGCACTATACCAAGAGGAGGCAACAGTGAATGTGCACTGTGTAGACTACCAAATGCTCCTTATAAAAAAAGGCATATTTTGCATGTAAGATGATATGAACTGTCACATCTCCATTTAGCACAAAATTAAAACTTTTTAAAAACAATTATTTGCAGAGAAACTATAATGTTTTGTTTTTTAAGAGACAGCAAATAAAACAAGCATTGTGAGAAAGCTTAAATGTTTTTACCATCAAGTTCACAAAAATGATCCTGTGAATCATCGTATCTTGCCCAGTCAATGAAAGCCTCCTTACTTTGGTTACTGAGGGGGAAAAAATATATTTGATTTTAAACTTTTAAATAAACAACATCAATAAGAGCTACTGAAAGAAATACAATTCACATACAGCAGTTAACTTGAAACTGCATTCTGAATTACTGTATCTGAGACTCAAGAATACATTGTCAGTTGCAGAGAGATTCAAGCAGGCATCAACTGCAATACTTTAAAAAGTCATCTTCATGTTAAGACAGCAAGAAAGATTTTTACCATCATTACCTGAACAAACTGTGCTGCAGAAGCAACTTCCTTCAGTAGGAGCTTGGTAAAATGCTTTCATAGCATACATTTTTAACACTTCAAAATACTCCTTTAGCAGCTGTCACTTAGGGCAGGGGAGAGAGGAGGAATAATCCTATTTTCATAACCTGTCCTATCAATGAGATCTACAATAGTTAGCCTTGCTTTTTAGCGGGAGACTGGATGTCTAAAAGCCCCTTCTAAGCTAAATTATGCTATGAATATGATTTATCTTAAGCCTTTTAAATAATAATGCTATTCCATTTTCAAAGGTGTACTGTACCAGAGACAAGTACTTTGAAGTTCCCAGGCTATGAAATACAAACACTGCAAAAGCTGAATGCTTTCTTCTATGTGGCACAGAACTACTGGTGCCACACTGCTGACAGCAAAATGTAAGCAAAGTCAAGATTGGGAATTTTGCTCCAGGGCGCAGTGAAACACTTTGAAATAATGAAAACAACCTATTCTGTTTGATCAAATTAGTACTAGCTCAATTCTACAAACACAGTCAATTCTATAATACACTAGATTTCCAACCTTCTGCCAAATCACAACAGGACACTCATACTTGGCATTAAGTGAGGAACTTCTCCAGTCATTACTAGCAAGCAAGATTTGATAATCACAAGTAATACAGCTGATAAAAAAAATTAATCCAAAACCATGACGATGATGCACTGGTAGGCAGAGAACGTGGAGGTTTGCCTAGAAAGCACAAATTCTTCCTGTACTTGCAGGATCCTCTCCCAGCTTTAATTGTCTATCTTACTCTCGCAAAAGACATTCTCTTTAGCTCTTCATATGTGTACTTAATCTCATATTCTTTTGCCCTACAGGAGTGGAGGAAATTTAATAGCTTCTTACTTCTAAAAAAACCTTGGGTAAGGGCTCTGCCCAGTTTGGTTTATAACACTGCAAACCAGGCAGAAGCAATCACTCTTTCATAGCAGTCCCATTTTGTCAGATGACAGAGTAAAGAGCGTCAACATTTCTATCAGGTAGAACTGCTGAAATCTGTGGCCAAAGGCACTACGCCTCTTCATCAACAGTGAAGAATTGATTTTTCTATTTCTACTTTTGAAAGGTGGGGAATCTAGTAGAATGCAAGTTTTCCTAAGTGCTGTTCCACACACTTTCCTACTCAGGGGCAACACCATCCTGCAGAATTCCTCCCACTCAACCTTGACAGCGTCATGCACCAAGTAAGATCGGGGAACTGATCCAAGCTAAAAACAACTTTGCCAACAACACAAGTAACTCAACAAGCTCCCTGACCTGGTTCACCTAATGATCACAAACAGGTCCATCAGCGTAACAAAGCGACAGAGCAGAACAGAACCCCTTAATCCAGCACAGTCATCAAGAATGAAGACTGATACTGGCAAAAAGTGGAAAAAAAGGTAGGGTTATTTGCAAGTTTCCTCTGGGTCTTGATACTGTAAGATACCTTTTTCACCTTTTGCAAATAGTATCAAAGTGTACTTAAAAGAAGTATACTTATCACATAAGACCTTCAGATGTTCTTGCATTATTTTACATTTACTTTCTAATGAGTTATGGAAAGAATGAAGAACAAAAACTAGCACATTGCAAAAACATGACGGACAAAATGAAATGCTCCTTTGTTACAATTTTTTGTTGTTAATCACAGCATACCTTAAGGTACTGTTAACTGCTCCCAGTTTGTTAGCTTGCTCGCAGTCTTCCAATTCTTTGGAATTATTTGCTGCTTTTGAATACTGGAAGAAAGTTCATATTTAATATGTAAATGAATTACATACAATTCTCTGAGAACAGGTGATGTGAAAGGTATTTCTAGGTTTAGCAGTGAACTGGCAAATATTAGGGAAGATTCTCAGATTCTTGATGCAGTAAATAATTTTGGAACATTTCTTATTTCTTTTTCTTCACTTAATTTTATCAAGTCCATTGCACTTCGTGGGTTTAACTACCACAGAAAATTCAGCTGAACATGTAAAAATTTTGTTTCTTTTGCTTTTTCTTTCTGTTTAAAAGAAATGGTGTTCTGAAGTCTTTCAGATACTTATTTACAGTCTTACAAAAAGACCCTGAAGACAAGCAGTGTCATACCTATAATCATACCTTGTATTTTGCAAGCATAATCATACCCCAAGTTGCATTGGTCATTTCAGTATGTTTGGCCATTTTCCCCTCATGTTTCACTTAATCCTATTCATTGGCATGCTCTAGACATGAACAGCTCTGAAGACAGACTTTTCAAGCTGAACTCAAATTTCGGTTATTTGAAAGCCAGAATTGGAGTATTTAAGCTGAACCCTGATTCTACAGTATTTTTTAAAAAGTAATCCACTAAAACAGAGTTACTACTAGAATAACTCCAAGGAGAGCATTTGAAGAATTAAAGATTCGATTCCACTATTCTACAATAGCATAGTTACATCAGCAGGGGATCTGTCCAGCATGTCAACTTAAAGCTCAAAAAACCCTTTTAACAGTTTTGGAACATGACACGTAGTATCAGGGCTCTCTGAAAAGATAAAGAAACCAAACTTCCTCTTTTGGGGGGATTTTGGAGTTGGGCATTTTCAGGGTTGGTTGGCTGGTTGTGTTTTTTTTTGTATGAGTGTTTCTTTTTCAGACTGAGCCTTAGGTTTACATAGATTTCTACGTTACTGCAGTCCTTAAGAAATAACAAAAATTATTTAATGTTAAGTAACTGATAGCTTCCATAAAGCTAAACTGGTAGCTTCCCTTCACTTCAGGGCACATACATGCTGACATGAAGGATTATAATCCAAAACTAGCTGAAAATAAAAACAGAACCTAAAGGCCTTGGTCAACCCTTTGGAAAACAACAATAATAATTTGATAAATTTAAAAGGAAAAGGAATAGTTCATATCTGAAGACAGACTTGTGGTCAAGATGCCAGAGGCAAAGCACCAGTACAATATGTATCACAATACTTGTCAATAAAAATGAAGGGTTTAATTAAAACCATTTAGATGAGTAGGCAAGATGACTTCCTTTAAAAATACATTTGCCAGAACCAGTACAAGGAAAAACAGCAGAACCAACTGAAGATCAAGAAGGTCTGAAGGTGATTAAAACCCCCAAGTATTTTAAAGCTAAAAAAATCCAAGTAATTTAAATTTTATTAGTGGCCTTGCCCATAAGAAATATTTACTCTAGAAGGAACTTCTCACTCAATTTTCTTGGATTTGCCAGATGTGGGGACTCATTCTTTAGCATCATATGGATGTCAAATGGAAAAATATGAACAAAGAACAGATCTGACCTAGAATGAAACAGATATTGCTGATGAATTAACATACTGAGATGCTGAAGTAAACATTCTGCATGAGTTGCAAACCAAACCCTACCCTGAAGTGAAAAAAAAATTACTGCCAAGAATATAATCCTAAATTGAAGGTTTCAAACAGAATGAACATTCAAGTCTCAAAAAACATGCATCCAGTCCTCACTGTTCTCCAGTGTTCAACAGCAGTATCTATTAGATCAGTGCTCTCTGATCACCGACTAGACTTAGACAAAGTATCTGCTCCTGCCAAGGCAGGATCTTGTAAGAGCAGTGTCTGGAAGAAAACAGAAAAGAGGTGGGCAGGAAGTAAAGTATTAAGTTAAATATTGTAACTTGAGTTACTGCATCCCAATCCCTGCTTCCAATATTAATATAGCAGCTGTCACGACAGCTACTGTAATGTCTATTCTCCCAAAACATGTTCACCAGTCAAATGGAACAAGACTACTGAAAGGGAAACTACTTTGTGCCTCTCCAGCACCATTTCAAAAAGCTTATCTTGGTTATAAGAATTAAACAGATCCTGTATCGCTAGCTGCATTTTTACAGGGAGGCTCTGCTAGTGTAACCCAGGTCCTTATGGCTTGATGAGCTTTCAAAAGAACTACTCTCTCCATTGGTCAGCAAACAAACAAAAATACCTCTAAATAGCCTGAATAAAGCTAGAAGTTTACAAACTCATCAAGGCAATGGGAAACTGAACAGAAGGCAAGCACTTAAGACCACAGACAACTCCACAGGATTCTACCCTGAGTATATCTACTCAAGAGATTGTATCTCTCATTATTAAAAAGATGCCTTTGACATTTTCACCTTTCAAGGCAGACACTGTTAGGACCAAAGAGAGCAATTGGGCATGTATCTACCCAGGAGAAAACACACCTTTTATTTCTTTTTTTTTTTCCGCTCCTAAACTAACACTTAAAGGATAATCCACAAGATGCAGGACACTCCCAAACGGACCAAGCACAGGCTAATATAATAGCAGAGTACCTGCATAGTCATTGAAACAAAAAATTCATACAAAGATGAGTTTGATGTTTTCTTAAAAGGGATATTAAATGGCTCCAAGAAAGACCTTGAACTGAATCTTAAGAAGTAAGAAAACAGGGTAGCTAAGATTTAAATCAGCCCCGATGACAACTTTCCTGCAGAAATATTTAATTTTCTTACAGAGAAGCAACAGATATTAGTGTCTTTGTTCTGCCACAGATTAAAGGTACTGAATTGCCAAAGTTTCAGTACTGTAGCTGGCTGCAACACCTAGAAGGCAATTCAAAAGAAACGACTATAGCAAATATACCAGCAAATGACAGATTCCCAAATAAGCTATCCCAGTTCCTTTACTATGGTGAAAGCAAAAGGTGCCTGATTTGTAACTTCCAAAGTTGAACTCGATATGCCCATGTGAAGTATCTGAAGAACAGCATACCTTACAGCTATTAATTACCATCTTTGTTATGGTTCTCAAAATTATCAATGAGGAAATTCAAATGCCTGTAAGAATCCTTTCTAAAACAGTCTTTAGAGTCTTGAAATGCCTCTTTGGGGATCCAGAAGTCAGTTTCTCTACAATTAAGCTTGAAAGAGAATAGTCTCGATATAAAACAAACAAACAAACAAACAAACAAACAAACAAACACCTCAAAAACTCAAGATCTTCTGCCCAGATAGTGCCAAAGATGTTCCAGAACAAGTACTGCTACTTGTGCTGAAACAGTGAATGACTGACATTTAAACCAGGTCAATGAGAAAGATGTTTCTTCCCCAGTCAGCATAAACCTTCAAAGAAAGAGGCACACTTTACTTCTGAGTGAGCTTAACAATGTATATATAAACAGTAGATGAGACTTCCTCTTGAGCTAAAGCTTGGCCAGACTTGCCTGCACTCTTTATGACAGCAGAACACAGAAGTCATCAAATCACAATAAAGTATTCCTCTCATCTATTTTTGGTAATCTTTCTTGGCACAAAAGTCTAAACCTAATGCTAATGGTCATTTATGATATGGTGAACCACACTCAGGTAAGCAAGTGCCAACTATGCCTGTCCAGCAGAAAGTACTGGGCAGGGTGGAGAGTAAGTATGAATCTGCAACACAGCCAACGCACTCAACAGGAAGATCTCTCATATGGACACTATTATCCCATTAACTACTAAAATCCTTACTCTTGGGCACTGTGTTTAGGATCTGGGGGTGGAGAAGGGTTGTTGGTCTTTCTGCTCTGACCTCTTTTCTAGGCATATATACATACCCTCTTCACTTCCTTGTGTTTGCTAATAGCACTTGGTGATCTAGGAAGGATCACTTGGAGAGAAGCAATCGAATGCCAGAAGCACAAACTGACTACTTAAGCGTGCACTGATCACTTGAACATATATTGTCTTTAGACTAATTAGACTAATGACCTGCTCAAGATTAAATATGGCAAAACTACATGTAATCCTTCAGGTTCTTTCAATATTAGAGGTTGTGGTTGTACATGATGCTTACAAAAGACTGCACTGCTGTTCCCTTTGTGCATCTTAGCCTATGGCTTTATAGAAAATGAAAAAAGAAGCCTGTATTGAAAATGAAAAAAGAATTTTGTATCAGGCATTCTGTGGCCATGTACTGATGTCCCTGGTCATTCATTCATTGACTGAGAGCCTGTCATTGATTGATAACCTGTCATTGATTGATTCAGAACAATATGACAGTACCAGCTACGTCTGAAACACTATTATACATAAAAGTAAAAGCATACAGCTACATACAGGAACTGATAAGTTATGTTAACATTTTCATCACTATGCCAAGACTGAAGGTTTGTAATAAAAAGTTACACAGCTACCATAATGTTAAGTTAAAAAAAAAAATATCAGTAAGAACTTAGCAAACAAATGATTACTTACCTTATTAGAGCTCCCAGCCTTAATGCCAACTGGTATTTTGCTCTGGAAAAAAAAAAAAACAAAAAAAAACAGTTTTTAGACTGCTCATAGAGATCATCATGCCTGATTAAAATCCACAAAGTAAATATCATTCCTACAGAGATCGAAGTAAACTTGTTTTTCAATAATTAACTTGCTCCTTTACCTTTTCAACTTGTTATACCCAAAACAGTGCTGGAGCTTAGAATAGACTTACTCTTCAAGTTATTTGTTTTATTGGTAAAATGACTAAGATTTTAAAATACTTTGTTTGTATTTCTGCTTTTGAAATGGAAAAAAAATTTATTGTCACTTATTTAAATTTCAGTTCTCATTAGTAAATATAGTTAGCATAGACACTGAAAATTTGCAAAATTTTTAAACAAATAACCTTTTTCTATTTTATGTTATTTGATCCATACCTCAGGACAAGGCTCTACATGACAATCTTTGATAGAACAATGGCCATCATCAGCCCAAAATGGGCATGGTCTCTTCAGGTTGACCTAAACATACAAGAGAAAACGTTTGAAATTGACACATAAGACAATTTTTTCGGGGGGGGGGGGGAGGAGCTCTCAGCATCAAGAAATTTTTTAAAATTAAAGGAGAGGATACAATGAAAAAGCGTTAAATTCAAGTTTGAGGGTTTTGTGGGAGTCTGGTCGGTTGGTTGAACTACTCTCAAAGTATAAAAGATGAGGCTTGCTGCAGTAGAATGGTTAGTGATAATGATCTCCAATGGAGACAAATACACAGTATATTAAAGCACAAATTAAATCTCTTACCACTAACTTCAAAGCAGTAAATAAACCACTAAAATGAAGGCAAATCAGTCATATGTTGTTCTAAAATGCTTGCAGTTACAATGAGTTGTACTTGTACTATACAGATCACGAAAATACATTTGATGTAGGATAGACTAGTGCACAAGTTTCCTAATTCAAACAAGTGCTTGGGTGATTTCAGATTTCAAGAAATAAAAAACACGCAATCATTACTATACATCATAGCTAGTCAAGGAAGAATGAGTATCATAATGCCCTCAAATTAGGGATCTGATATAGTACAAATACAAATAAAGAAGAGAAACCACTTCAGAAACATTACTAGCAAACCCTGTGATGATTAGTGCTCCTATTTTTCATGACATGGCACAATCAAGGCAAGAAGTACCACATATATTCGCACATACTACACTGCAAGAGATTAAAACACTTTACTACATTTGGACTGTCAATGTGAAAACCAGTGAAGGTAAAGAAAAATAAAAAATCCCAGCTTTCCTTTACATTAGCCTTACACAAAGAAACATCAGTGATAAAACCCATTCTGAGTGGCCTGGTTTAGGGGGGAATACGGTATCACTGAATTGTCAAACCTGAAACTCAGCAATAAAAAAAACTGAATTTAATTATTTTTTTTATTATTATTTTTTTTTCTGCCCGGCATTATACACCGTATACTAAGCATAAGGGAAACTAGATCAATATGCCTCTGATACAGAACTGGCACAGTATGAAGAATCTGAGATGAATTATAGCCAGATTTTACTCTCCCTATTCTATTATTTTATTAATAAATAAAAATACTATAAATATAAGGCAAAACTATGGACCTGAAATAAAGACACAACTTCTGCTCCTTGAAGGATAAATTGTTCTGGGACACTACATGCCCAAATTCAGGTAAAACAAAAAGAATTCCCTCTTCAAGTGTACTGTCAATACCACAGGAGATCCCCAAAGACTAAAGCTTAATGCTCGACCGGCTCATCTGCCCTTTATTATACTAAATTCCTCTACCAAACTTTTCAGCAAGTAAGTTCTCTATTTTCAACACACACATACACAGTTAATTGCTATAGAACATGTGAAGAAAAGACTGTTTTCCAGGTTTCCATTTTGATGTACTTATTCAGCATGACTGGGAATTGTAAATTCAACTTTAAAATGCTAGAGATTCCACAGTCAAAAAACCTCTAACAAGACATTCAACAGATGGTATGACTTCTTAGAAATGATGACAACTATATTCTAGTTACAGTTCAAGCCATGCTAGCACAGATACATCTAAAGCAGAGATTTTAGGTTGCTTCACCACCCCTTCCTCTTGTCACTCTATAAACATCATCCCTAGGAAAAAAAAAAAAAAGTGTAAAATTCTAGAAATTTTTGTACCTGTTCACTCATCTTTTTTAAATAAAGCACAAAGTGTTACATTTTACATCACTTTCACAATAAGATCTAATACATAAAACACACTCCTCCCACCAATTTCTGACAGAAAAAGACCAGCTGACAGACTACAACCTCATCCAAAGTAAATTCTAACAATAAAAAATCCTAACTTAGGGAAGATACAAGCAACTCATGCAGTAACTTCTTACACAGAGAAAACTGTAAACAAAAGAATACTACTGTCTAAAGTGCAGATTAAGAAAGAACACCTGCAAATATACTAGTCCTAGGTCTGAGACAAACTGAAGTTGTACAGCACTTGTACTTTAATCAATACCTATCATTAGCTGACTATATCAAACTTCTGCTTTTTTCAGGGTGTGAAGTATTAATTTCATTATTATCATTTAGAGTATTACTCAATACTTGTCACAGATTTAAAGTTAGACTTGTTATCATGAGGCTTCCATAGTCTGCATGCTTTGATGTATAAAACTATACAGAGACAAAATTTTTTATTCCTTTCTTTCATTGAGAAGTCTTGCACTATCTAGAAATCACTCAGCACAATTTCAGCAAGAGTTTAAAAAAAAAAAAGTAGTTTTCTTCATCCTTTAAATAAAAATTAGCTAGTCCATCCAGTATTATATATTATGACTGTTGAACTGTAACACAGTGGAAACACTGTGGCTGGTAATTAGAAATGTTCATGATCCAAATTCTGCTACAAACTAAATTACTTCAGAGTAGGAGTATTTTCACACCCAGAACAAGTATACTTCACCTATGCTTACTCAGTATTTACTTACACTGTAGTTGACCTAGATGATCATTGCCTACCCTCACAATTTCCACATGCATCTATGTGCTTAACAGAAATTTCATGATTCTCTGCAGGGACATAAAAAAACCCCTCTGTTGCTTATTCAGAAGGGAAAGGGTGAAAAAAAGATGACTTACTCAGTTTGCTTGTTCAACAGAAATTCTTCCCTGTCACATCTGGAAGTACTAAGTAACGTATGGTGATGGGTGGACTTCACATTGGCCCTTGTAACTGCCCATTCATTAGGAAGATGGGGTAGGACTGTAACACACCATTAAAGTATGGTCTGCAGAACCACTGTTGAAATTAAGATTAGCTCTAAATTTATAGGATGAAGTTACTGTTGTATGAAACCCATATACCTGTTGCTCATCCTCTTCAAATACTTTGGTTTGTATCTTTCTGGTGCTTCTGGAGAATCTAATTACTGCTACTACGTGATGTATTATCACTGAAGTTGCACATATGCTGTTTTCCTGAAAAGTGAAGTTAGAACTGTACCATGGAGCAGGAGTTGATTCAGGGTGAAGCTACACATTACTGGTTGCTCAGACTAGAAAAGGAAGATTTTAGCAGTCTTTTCTCCTTCCTCACATTCATAACCCTATCTTGCATGAATGTAATGCTTGTCTGATACCAGATCAGCTCAATAGCTTGCTATGTCCTGAGAGGGAAGAAGAAAAAATAAAAAGCAGCAGCTTTCAAGCTAAACATATCTGAAAAGAGTAGTATCAGGCTTCAAAGTCTTATTTTTCTTATTAGTCTAATACAAACAGTATTTAAAGTCATTACAAAGTGTTATTACATACTACTTGAAAACTGAGTAATTTTACCAGTTTATCAAAGGAATAACAGTTCTCTAGATAGCAAATACTAAAATAAGAACTAAGCAACTTACAAAAAAAAAAATCACTGCAATATTTCAGCTCCGAATTACACAGGTTTCTTAGAAAACAAGTACTGCATGCTGTCAGAAAGTTGCTAATATACAATCCTTTCTAGATGCAGCAGTACAAAGATACTGCCTTTAGTAGTAGCCATGATTTACTGTCACTGACTCCAGGATTAACACAGCAAACACAACTTACTACCAACATAACTGTCAGGGACTGAAAAGCTGCTACAATCAAATTAAAGAGCTGTTGGCTTCTGAAAGACAACTTAATACAGACAAGTTGATTTAATGTGTAATCCTCCCTACATTTTCTGGATTTTATTTAAATTATTCAGGAAAATACCATTTTAATTGTACCTTGTAATATCTGAAGTAATCACGTTCTTGCAGTTTCTGTATTTTTGGGAAGATCTTGAAAGTATTGAAGTCATCAATGCTTTCTATGTCACACAAACAATCATCTAGGACTCCTGTGAGCTATCAAAAAAATACATAAAAATTTATTTTAAATCAAGAAATGCATTAGCTACAGAAAAATCCCCTAAAGAGAAATAGATGGTGATCAAAAGAAATACTAGTGAAATGCAAATACTTTATTTCTTGTCATTAAAATAGTCTACAACATACCTTACACATACACATAGAAAATAACAGACTTTAGCACTTTTTTTGAGCTTAACTCCACCTCTACATACAGTGCTAGCCAGACTAACACTCTTTATTTCTTGACAGAGTCAGCATATAGAACTTTCTGCAGAATGAGCAGCAAGATTTTCCAGACTACAAACACAAGGTATATTAGCCCATTGGAGTTCCATACCAAGTATTCTCCTAGCAAATGCTCGTTAATTGAGTTGCCTAAAAAAACTTCATGATCACATACTGTCATCTTATTTTTGTAATTCTTGTCAAAGCACAGAAACGCTTCAGCTAGTTTCTTCAGAGGCACTGGATACAGGGAAATAGGTACTTATCTGCCCAAAAAGTTAGTAGCTGCACAGTCAGGTTCTGCAAATAAATAATAGGAAAACCAGGTGCAGGCACCTGTACTGTAAGGCTGTAAATCTATTGTGAAATTAAGTGTGAACTTTGCAGGTCCCATCCCACTTCTTCTGCCAGGAGAGCGAACTGGTTCAAGATACTGCACTAGCTTAAGACCATGAAGAGGAGGGTACACAAACGCGGAAGCGCTACAGCCAGCACAGCAGAGGAAGGCAGGACTGTGGCAAGCAGCAGAGAAGAAAGGGCAAACTAATTTAGTGGACTGAGCTATAGCAACACTTTTGTCAAGACCGTGACAGCGTCTTAGCAAAAGGTGGAAACAGTGAAAGTGTTTTTCTATGGACATTTGTAGGATAAATTTAATTAAATCCAAACTAACTACTCCTAATCACAGCATCTTAAAAAACTACAAACATGTTTGAAAGGCCTTTCAAACATGAGGTTGAAGGCTTAAGATCATATGTTAGGGAATGGAACCAAACACTCCTGTTAACTACTACTGTTCTTCAGCCAGACAACAAATTAATTGACATAAATGATGGCCTAGAAAGCATATAAAATAGGAAAGTCTATGTTGCATGGCCCTGGAAGAGCTTGTAACCATTCAAAGGTTATGTGCAAAAGGAGACAAAGAGTATTTTGTGGTGCTTTTTTTCTCCATAAATTTCACACAGATGAGATTATGAAATCACCTAATCTGTTTTATGCATGATAGACCACTACAGAACAGATAACCTTATATAACCAAGCTTGATGCAAAAAAGTCACTAGAAAACAAACTGTACGCTTCTGTTCTTTTATGAAGCATAAAAGAGGCCTGGAAAATTAATTTCCCCCAGCTCTCTGTGAGAATAAAGGGGTGAAGGTTTGGCAATAAAGCACTTAAGTAGAAAACTCAACTTATGTAGATCTTACATTTCCAGAGGCACTAAATAGGCTGTCACAATTCTACAGAGTAGATATGGACAGCAAAGAAGTAAAACTCATTTAAGGGAAGTTACTTTACCCAAAGTCTTCTTACTGTTATGCTCGCCTTGTTAATGCTATCTAGCATCAAACCAGAGCAAACAGCAATTACAGGCTTTTCACAAAGCCAAGAAAGCTCTCAGCCCACATGACTGCCAACCCCAAAGTCAAAAGACAAAACATATTATAAGGGCTTACAGAAATAGCCCCCCTCCCCCCCCCCCACGCATTTTCATCTATAATGATTTCATTCAAATTTTAGAATTTTCTTATTGGTCACACATAGGCAGAAATGAATTTTGCAGTCTTTACAGGTAACACCATACCACAAAACAAACAACAGTACATTTCACTGGAATATAAAAAGGCAAAAAAGATAACTTCCAATATATTGCTCAAACATTTAACTGTATAAACAGTGAAGAACAATTATTAAGCTGAAAGCAGTACCAAAGATCCAAGATATTTTCCTTGGACTCAGGAAATAAAGAGTGGGAAACTATTTTGATGACCACCTCATGGAGCTATCCACTGCTTACAAAAATATTTTTACCATCTATGCAAAACCAAAGATGCTTTTCCAGGGAAAAAATGCTCCAAATAAATATGCAGTAATTACACTCAGCATCAAATCCCCACAGAAAAATAAAAAGCTGCAGTTGTCTTATTCAACTAAGATGGCAGACTACTGGAGGTCACCCCTTTGCCAGCTGTCTCCGATAAAAATCTCAATTCTAAGAATGGCTTTCAAAATGCAGTACAGTTTACTTAGAACACTATGGAGTTTCAGAAATAAGCCCTCCCAAAAAACTAGAATTTCCTAACAAATTATCAAAAGAAAAAATAATTTGAATAACAAGAGCAAGGAAACAAAATTCTCCATTTCTTTCTCACAACTTTTTCAAAATTGGAACAGTTAGCTCTCTGTATACATAGCACAGCAAAATCAACGTTTCCTTGGAAGGCATGCTCTAAAATTAAACTATGCTATAGCTGCACCAAACCACAATTTATAAAATGGTTTGACAGCACATATGAAACACCAATACTGCACAACAGTGGAGTCAGTTAACAGCACTAATAAAACTGCAACACTGGCTTCTAGTATTCCAGTTGGAGCTCTTTTATTAGCCCAGGTGTAGTCTTCAGTGCTCTCACAAAACGATGTAACACTCTATGAACACACAGAAAATTGTTTCATTTCTGTCAACATCTGGATCTTCCAGTGAATACTTTTTTAAACTGGAGACACAAAACTAAGAACAGTGTATTACCCAGTTAAAATTATGTATCATAAGACTTCCTTTGGTATTCATACCATTGTTTTTTGCCTTTTTTGTAACTGAACTATACTAGTGAACTTAGTCCACATATATAGTCAACTGTAGTGTAAGTTATCACAAATTTTATTACAGTGGCCCAATATCATGCCTTTTTTTCACCTGATAATTATTTGCAACTGTATGAGAAGCTCTAAAAGCATGAGCCTACTATAAGCTATGTTAAAAACTCGTCTGACAATTGAATAGCTTCAAACTCTTCTCTATTTCCAGTATGCTTATCAAAGTATTTCCAGGTATTGTCCAACCTAGCTTAGTTCTTGTACAGGTATGAGAGCTGTACTGCAGATGTTGAACTTCTAACTCATCTTCTCCAAGATAAATCAAACTTTCAGATTAAAAGGTCAATGTCCAACCTGTATCAACTTCTTATGAAATCTGTAAAGAGAAATGTATTCAGTACTTTAACATTAAGAAAAAACTGAATAAATGCATGCACTAATGAGTAGTCTATTCATACAACCAACCTTTTTAGTGTTATCAGGTGGTTGTACTTAAATTGCTTCAACAATTAGAAGACCAAGGGACACCTTGTTTTGTTCCTTAATATTTTACTTTGCCATAGTTGCTGAACGAGAGAAAAGCTATAGGTAACAACTCCAAGAACTACTAGCTAGCTTATCTTTTCTCTGTGTAAGTCAAATACAAAGTATTTTAAACTCTAAATACAATATGCTGACAATTTGCTGGAATAGCAATAACCAATCCCTCTGCCAAGTGTCATAATAAAACCATGCCAGTTAATGGCTTCCTTGAGAATTCAAATTCAATTAGCATTTAGGTACACTAAACCAGCTTCTAAAATAATGGATTTTTAAACCGGGTAAAACCTTGACTTACAACAAAAAAAAAACAACCCTGCAATTAAAGCTATATGCTAGACTAGTCATTACTTTGCATGGTCACTTACAATACAGCATGTTATACAAAGCAGAAATTTAAAAAACATGTGAAAAATAACGTTAGGATACAGAAGCCAAATTTTGCTCCACATGGACATTGTGACTTTCCATTTAACTCACTCTAATGTCTTTGACCCAGCTAAAATCCTTCCCTACTTGACATGAACTATTATTTCAGGAACGGTCACACTGCTGATGAATAGCAAACTCTCAACTTGAGACACCTGCCCTCCTGAAACTGTAAAGACAATTTACAGAAAGAAGCAGCATTCTCATCCTCCTCTGCAATGTGGGCAAATAGACACAGACCTAAACACAAGCCAAGCCGGGCCCTTGCTATTTCCACTTGACCATATGGCTTCTCACCAACTTCATGAGGACATCAAAGTTTCTGCCTACAGTCAAGGGTATGATGCAACCCAGAACTCTTCAACACAACACCCCACAGACAAGAAGCAGATTTAGCTACATGAAACAACTCCTCTGTATGTCTGGACCGTTATATACGCGTACCAGCAGTGCTTCCCAAATCGACCAACTTCTCCCCTGACGGCAGCAGCGGGAGCCCACAGACCGGAGGCACCCAACAGACCGGTCCCGCACTGGACCCCAGCAAAGAGGAACCGCACGGTATAGAATAGGAAGGACGTGGGCTGCAGACTTCAGCGGAAGATCCTCCGACTTCTCAGCCGGGGAGGCTGCACAAGACTCGGCCCCGAAGCTGCCCTCTCCCCCACGACCCTCCGAAGCGCCCTCGCGACCTCCTCCAGCCCACGACAAGGAGGATCTCTGCTCTCCCTTCCCTCAAGCACGGGTCCCCAGCCCTGCCCGCGGCCGCTGGGGCATCCCTGCCCGGCCACGCTTCTCTTCCCGCTTTCCTCCCCCGCCATGAGAGGGCTCCGCCGCATCGTTCCACCGCTGGCTCCTACCTGGGCCTTAGCTGTCACGACGCAGCCGAGCACCGCCAGCAGCCGCGCTGCCACCCGTGCCCTCACCGCTGTACTCCGGACAGCGCCGCTGCCGCTCATGCTGCTGCTGCCGCCGCTCCACCCGCCGCGGCTGACGGGGGAGGGCGGCCCTCGCCCCGCCGCGCAGCAGCCGCTGCCGCCACAGGAAAGCGACGGAGGAGTCGGGAGACAGCGGCGGTGGCCCCTAGGCTCTCCTCCCTGCGCGGCCGCTCCTGTTTGCGGCGGGACCCGTCGGGCGGGGGCGCCGCGCTCACCTCAACCTGCCCGCGCGCTGCCGCCGCCACAGCACCGACGCGCGCGCGCACACCCTCGCTCCTCGCGCGCAGCCGCCACCCGCAAGAGCCGCGGCTCCTCCGGCCGCCGCGCGGCACCCCGGGAGCCGTAGTCCGCGCGCGCAGCCCCTGGCGGCGGCGGGGCCGGGGCGGGGCCCGACGCGGCGCCCAATCAGGGAGGACCACGCGCACCTCCAAAACAAGCGGCGAGGGGCGGGCCCGCGGGGCGCGTGCGCGCGGTGGAGGAGGGCCCGCGCCTTGCGCGGAGTGAGCGTGAGGGGAGGCACGAAGCGTCCGGTGTGCCCGCGTCCTGCCTCAGCCGGGCGTGCGACCGAGACAGAAGTACTGCGAGAGACTGTGCGTGTGTGCGCACCTGCGGCGTGCGGGGAGGAGCCCGAGCGCTGAGTCGCGTTTATTGTTTAAAAGGGGCTTTTTTTTTTTTTCTTTCGGGTCACAGTGCTTTTTCTCTTAGCACGGTTTCTTTTATGAGAAGCTGTATATGCGAAGATGGGCTCACCTCATTATTTTTGGCTTGTTTGATTCGTGTTCCCTTTGAGAGCAAGGCTGAAAGTTAATGGAAAAACTACAGGCTCTCCATTCGTTGGCTATTTTTTTTTATTTTTTTTTTTATTTTTAATTGCAACACCCACCTCCTCCTCCCAGGTTTTTTGGTTTTGTTTTGTTTTGTTTTTTTTTCTGGGAGGCACAGGCTACTGTGAAGGTACAAGACGTTAAGAAGATGCTTTCGGATGTGGTTTTACATTGCAGCTAAGATAATGAAATAGTTGTGTGGAAAGAGGCAATACTGTTTTTCCATCCATCTCTCCTTCCTCCCAGTTCCTCATCCCCTATATCTGGGCTAGAGCTCCTGAAGCTGCATGTTAACTCAGCTGCTTGAGTGATTTGTATGTTCTTTATCCTAGGGATAATTTTCTGCCAGAGCAGCCAGCTGAACTGGCTCACTCATGTCTGCTTCCTCACTCTACGTGATCCAGAGAGGAGGCAAGGGTGCATACATATCCCAGTAGGAAGAAGAGAGGGCCCCTTCAGGTGGCTGCTTAGTTAAGTTTAGCTACACCTTATTTCTTTTTTTTTTTCCTACTACCCCTTGGGGAGACTGTTTGGCACAGTTGGTTATGGGATGACATCAGCTGAGTTTGTCCAGCTGTGCTTTGCCAGTAGCTATTGGAACTGGTCTAAGGCTTTTACTGCTGCTTCTTTTCAAAAAATTAAGAAACCCAAAAAACATGCAAACACCCCAAGATTTCCCACAACCAACCACCCAACCACCAACCACCAACCCTAAGCAGCTCAGCACAATCTTTTGCTTCCAACAGTTAAATGAGTATCTGTAATTCACTTCCAGAATTGCAAAGTGAATTTCCTGCAAGAAGATGAGTGTTGCACTGATTTCATGTGCAGGGTTGCTAGAATTAGGGTTTTATTTTCAGTCCATCTGCTACCCTTGTTCAGTTAGAGGAGACTGCACCTCTACCAGAGTTTGGAAGCAAACTTTAAAGTTGGGGTGACTCTCATCTTAAAAGTTTTCAGATTTGCCATTGTGATTTACTTACACATTAATTTAGTTTCCCATTATATTTGTCCTTCAGTGTCAGTATGTCACAGATTTTGCATTGCTGAAAATGTCTTGAAAAGCTGAAGGATAGATAGCTACACAGAGAGCATGAAACAGAGTAGGCTGTAGTTTTACAGTTTGGTCTCAGAGAGATGATGTAATGGCTCCTTCCTTTCCTCTCTGAAGTACAGACAGTACACCTATCATTTGGGAATGATTAAATGAGAATTTATTTCTACTTCCTGCTGAATCGGTGCTTTTCAGTCAGCTCTTGCTTGCCAGAATTGAGCTTATACACTCTTGGTGTACACAGAAATAGTGATCTGTGTTCATCACCAGTGTAAAGACGTGTCTCAGAAATGACTGCAGACTAATTTAAGTGAACAGTCAGGCAAAGAGGCTGGCTTCATGTTTCATGTTAGGAGAAGTTTGGTAAATCCCAGCAAATTTTCCAAGTTCATGAACTAGATTTCAGTAATGTGACGTGGATTTTGGAAACTTTTTGCCCTTGAAGCTTTTGCCTGTATTTATTTTTCCAAAGTAACATTTGAGTGAGACGTTTCTAAACTTAGGAGAGTAAACCAGAGGGATCAATACATCACAAACTTCTGATTCAGACTTCTGATTAAGTCTGGCAAACAGGAGCGGTGGGAGTGTGGTGCCTGTTGAGCAATGGAACATCTTGTGGTAGCCTAGTTATGAAGATTTGACAGCAAGGCAAAGCTGTGGGTGAGAACTGTTAGTAAACCATCTCATGTGACTACAGACAAATAAAAAGCAGACAAGTAGTGGGGCATGTGAGTGCTGTGGTCTGCCAGGCCTGCTACAACTGAAGAACTCATACACCCAAACCCCTGTTTTATCCAGCTGTAGTTAGGCCCAATATAATGTTTCTGTCAAATGTCAAAATTGTGACATCTCTGTACAACTGTAAAAAAACAGACCAATATCATTATTGGGAAAGAAAGTAGTTTTAACTTTTTAGGTCCTGGTTAATTATTCCTACCCCAAAACAACCTCAGAATTTTAAAAAACTGGCTTAGTAACACACTGAAGCTACTGACAATTGAAAATAGATAATCTTCAACTGATAATTGAAAGTTATCGATAGGATATCCAGGAAAGAAAATGCAGGGAGGCATTTCCTAACTGTACTGCAATACATTACCGTTGAAGAGCTTACGTTGAAACAGAAGTATTTTACTCAATACAAATGTCCTTAGATAAAGATGTTTGAAATGTATAAATCAAAGAAATGAGGAAGAAAAAACAAGATTGCTGCAGGCCCACAGTTACCATCCCTAGTAGCAACCCTTGTCAGGGGGAAGGTTATACTGTTCCTCTGTGTTAGTGGTATTGTAATCAGGAACATAAGTTCTTTATTTCCATGGGGAAAAGCCATAGATGATGAGTTAAAACAAAAAGTGTTTCATCTTTTTTTTTTGTTGTCTTTTTTTTAAGTGTGGGGAAAGGGGTGTGTTGGGGAAATAGCAATCATATTCTGCTGGAGAGGAATATGTTGTCCATGGGATGAAAACTGCTTCATCTGCAGCCTTGTACTCAGAAGGCAGGAAATCCCTTGAGACTGGGTTAATTGCTATTTCGAGCAATAAATTAACTGGCTATGTATTACTGGATAGTTTGAAGATCTTAGGGAGAAGTTTCTGTGCTCATCAAATACAGCAGCTTTTTGATGGGGCCAGGAAAGGGGTGAGAAGAGGCATCTGTAGACTTGATCTGTAAAAACTGTTTGAAAATATTAATGCCGTATTTAAGTGGAGATTTACAAAATGCTGAACTCTTCACATCATTAGTTACACTGAATTTAGCACTTTGAAGGGTTACAGCAAGACAATCTTTAGATTTTACTTAAGTATAGAAATTTGATGAAAAAGATAATCTGTTTTAGAGAATGCTGTTACTTAAAGTTATCTTTTAGTGGATTTAGTTTTTATGATACAGTTATATTTAGTTTTGCTAAAATAATTGCTGACTTTCTGGATGGGTCAGTTAAGTAACAAACAAAGATTTCTGTATCACTCATTAAACAATGATACAAGAACAGGCATGCAACAGCCAAATTAAACGGTACTGTTGACAGTGCTCTAGAGACACTTCTGTGTAATTGCAGACTCTTCCTTCAGTACTAGGAAAAAAACTGCTAAATTATGATGACTAACCTAAGTTTTGAGGCAGTAATGTTATCTAGACTATTCACTTATAGTATTAAATTTCATTATTTTAAAGAATTATTAATGAATAATTTGTTCAAAAATCTGTTTCAAATTGAAAAGCTGGTGTGATTTACAGATACACTTTTAAAAATACACAATTTTTAACAACATTAACCAGTTTTGGTTGCTGACGTGTGGTTCAGCTATACTTATTTTGTGATTGTTTACTGAAGTAATTTTTTAATTCTGATATAGGAAGATTTAATGTTGTAAGTTATCAGAAGAGTAAATGCCATGTTGATGGTAAAACCTGGTGCAGACCACAATACCGATGCTGTGTATGTTTCTGCAGTTAACAGCCACCTGTGTAACAATAGTACATTAGGGGTATTCTGAATGACATTAATAAATACATTTTTATATGGATTATATATATATTTCTCCAAAGCTTTTCTAGTCACTGACTATATCTACTTCTGGGGTTAAAGCCAGTAGTCCAAGTAGCACACAGAGGCAGCACATATATACAAGTCCTGAGGGCAGATACAGCATTCATTTTACTGAGGTGAAATTTGGCAGGTTTAAAATCCAGAAAATTCTTAGCTCTACTGTGGCTTTGTCATTCATTACAGTTATAGAAGAGGCTCCAGTTACTACTCTGGCATTTATTCAGACCTGCGTTGGTAAGAATACACTTTGTTGGTCCTCTTAATTCTCAGGCTGATTATCCATCACTAAAACCATTGTGCCTCTGAGGAAATCTAAGCAAGCATACAGAATCAGCAATTTTATTTCTAATTAGACTTGATGTTGCCCTTTGAAACTAAGAAATGCCTCTGTTCTTTCAGAATGATATTCAGTATTAATGTGGAAAATAACAGAGTCAACCCATATCTTGGACAGCCAGACTCCAGTAATATGCCTAAAAAAGAATACTTCTTTGGGTTTTATACATCATAAATTACAGAAATGTTGGTGATCTGTTAGCTCTACCTTGGAGATTAAGATATTTAGAGATATACATGTGAGTGCGTGTATAACCTAATGGCAAAATCTCCATTTGTCTCAGGCAAAATAAGGGTGATGCTCTGAATCTTCCAAATAACCATGTCAGTATTCCCACTGGTAGGATAACACAAAGACTTGCTCTTCTACAAGAATGCACAAATTCAGTACCAGAATCATTGAAGAACCTTAATATTATTGATGTTAATGAAAAGCCAAATAGCACGAAAAGCCACTGTAGTTAATCTAAATTCTGAAATTAATTTAATCTTTGTAAGTTTGGTTTTGGGGTTTTGGTGGGGTTTTTCTGTGTTGTTTTTGTTTGTTTGTTTTTTGTTTCTTTGATTTTTTTTGGTTTTTTTTGGATGTTGTGGGTTTTTTGTTTTTTGAGGGTTTTTTGGTTGGTGGGTGGTTTTTTTTTTTTGTTTTGGTTATTAGATTTGTAACATGCATGAGAAATTAATCTGTGGGACACTCAGTTTTTAATGTGTTATATGGACCAAAGGCTACTTTTAGTATTCAGTGCAAGCCAGTTGACTGAATTGGAACTCTCCCAGTATAAGAGAGTAGAATGTGGCCATAAAGTTACCTTGTTAATAGATGAGGAAGGTGACTAACACACAAATGTGGCTGGTTTCTTCTGTTTGTATTGCACAATAAATAGCAATATGTGACTTTTTTATTTAGAAAGCGGTTTCATGCATAGACCCCATTTAAGAAATCTGTATTAAGTATATTAAGAGAATTTGCCAGAGATGACAATGGGGACCCGAACCAATTATATACAAAGATTTGACATCATCATGGTATTTGGAGTGCCTGTAGCATAAAAATATGATTTTTGGTGTTTCTGAAAAAAAACAGTGCAGTTTGATTGTTGCTCTGCAAAACTTGAATTAACTGTACCCAGGCACTGCAAGCCATCTGCAGGTCAAGACCACCTTTCTATGTCTGCAGGTGGTTATTGAGGCATGTAAATATCTGTAAGAGCAGGACAGCAAGCACTTGATTTTATATTGCTGAAATAACTTCCCTTAGGTTCAAACTAGTATTACTCGACAAGCCACAGTATGCACCCCTTGCCTGGGGCCGTAATTGAACAGAGTTTTCACACTGTCGAGCGCCTTCCACTCGAAGGAGTTGGATCATAGAGCCGTAGAATGGTTTCGGTTAGAAGGGACCTTAACGATAATCTAGTTCCAACCCCCTGCCATGGATAGGGATACCCTCTACTCGACCAAGCTGCTCAAAGCCTCACGCAAAATTAACCCGACGTATCCGTGGGAGAGTGGTGTTTCCTGTTGGGAAGTGCGGGCCCGCAGGCAGCCGCCGCACTCGGCACCAGCGGGAGCAGCGCTCGAGGTGGGACCTCCCTCCCGCGGCGGGCCCTACCTGCAGCGGGGCGGTGGCAGGAAGGGGGCGGTGCAGTGCGGCGGTGGTTCCGGGCACGTCGGCGGCTGCCGCTCGTTCCTCGCACTGGGACCCGCCGCCCCTGCTCGCCTCATGGCCGCTCCGCAGGACCCAGTGCCCCCAGGTGAGGAGGACCCCGCCGGCGGCAGGGGGAGGCGGCGGGAGGGATGGCGGCTGCGTCTGATGCGAGCGCCCTCCCCTATCACCGCCGGGAGTTCGGGGCTGCGCGGTGCGGCCCACTGCGCCCCGCTTCCACCCCGCCCGGGGGTAACCTGCGGCCGTGGCTCACGGGAGCCTAGCCCCGGGGGAGGTTAAAAGGGTTTATTAGTTGCGCCCTTCCCCCTCCGCGCACGCTAATTAAGCATGGTAATAATTTATCATGTGCTCTGCTAATGTGATTTAGTGCAACTTGTCTTGTCAAGCCTGCGCCGGTGTTTAGCGTGTAGGTTAGCTTGTGCTTGCTAACAGCACACTGAAAAGACACTTTCATGAAATCCTACACTCCGGGTGTTTGAAAGTCCAAACTCTTTAACGTGTGTGGCTAACGGTGTAAATGGCTTGAGTACCTCATCTTAGGTGTGCCGGCATCACGGCTTCTCCCTATGGATCTGCTCAGTCAGTGATAAAGTTTTGATTAGTTAACAGGAAACAAAAATGCTCAAAAATGATGGACTTGGATTTTTCAGGTGACCAGATATTATAATATTATTTGCTGTATTTCCTCCTCTTATTCAAATCTGAAATTCATGTGCCTCTGATCAAAGCACCAGTTGATTTGGGTTTAATCAAAGGGTTCATTTTTGTGAACGATATTAGCACTATGGTGATCACTTTGAGTTGTAGTGAGTTGTACTTTTAATGTATATGGCCAACCTTAGTGTGCATGTTTGAATACATAACTGCAGTAGACCTTACGTGCTTCATTTGCTACTGGTGGTGTCAATGCTGTGTTGCAAGAAAAGACCTGTAATGGGGGGAATACCATCTCTGCTTCATGTTGCTTTGTGAATCCCCTCCTGCTTAATGGTCAAAATGCTGTGATCTCCTTCAGACTTCTTTCCAATAAAAGGCGCAAGAGCAGATGTAGGATTAGAAGTTTGAATGTGTATATGCATAGGCATATATATACATCTGTGTATATATAAAATTGACAGATTGTTCACACTGGTAAGTGCATAGCATTGCACCCCTGTTAAGAGTGTCAGTATTGAGCAAAGAGAAACAGTAGTGATGGGTACAAGTCCACTGTTCCGGTTGCAGACTGATTATGCTGGATGGTCTCAGGCAGAAGAGCTGTGGCAGCCGCTGACAGCATGCAGGGGATGTGCAGCAGAAGGGAACCTTGGCAGCAGGCATAGAGCCTGACGTATGTTTGTCCAAGTGGATTTGCATGTGCTGATTTATGTCCATCTGAGTCAACTCGTGTGGTTCCTGGCAGAAGTGTGGGGAAGTAAATACAGACCTGCAGGAAATGTGGCTGTATGCTGTCAGTGGGCAGTACAGTGATAGTGACTTTTATAAGGGATCACAGATAATGTTACAGGCTGCCAAAGTGACTATGAAATCAGACAGTCTGCAATGAATAGTCAGTCAGATGATACCTGGATTTCCTGTTGGCCTTTCAACATGCAAAACTGTGGATGTTTTACATTTGAGATGGACAGTGAACTTTCCACCCTGCTGTTTTGTGCACCTGCATCCAGCTGTATGACATGAGCTGCAGAGTGCTGTAGGAAAGAGAAAGGGGACATGGCATTTTAATTGCCTTGTTCAGAACTAAATATTAAGTCTGTGGTTTTCAAATTACCTGCCTGTTATCACTGGTCAACAAGACCATGGTGAATTACTTGCAGCCCCGTATGTGGAGCCTTTATTCTTAGGTACAAATATTCATAGACATATGTGCCGCTTACAGAGAATGCTGGGACTTGGTAGTACTCTACAACCTAAAACCCATGGAAATTACTGCTCTTCATAGAGAACTAGAAAAACAAAAGGGAACAAATTGAGGTATAGGAAAAGAAATCTGTTTTAAAATATTTTTCAGGATGGATACTCAGTAAGATACAAAGTGTTCCAAAGATAGAGATTCACAGTGACTGTGTTTCTGTGCAAGACCTTAGAAAGCAGGAGGCAATTAAAGGTGCCACCTTGCAGGGTGGTACACCCTAGCACCTCTTGTACAGACACCCTGGGGTCTGTGAAGTCCTTATTTCTAATGCCTGTATTCTTGGGGCTTCTCTCATTTTTCCAGTGCTTCCCTCTGGACTGTGAAAATTAAATTACCGGTGTTGTAATGTACATTGGCTGTATCTTGGAGATATAACAGAAGACAATGGATAAAGCCCTTACCATAGCTGCAGTAGCCACCAGGGTTCACCAGGGCATGGACCTTTTGTGGTCTCTGCTTTCAGATACCTCAAGGCTTCTTTTATATTACAAGAGTGAAGGAAGGTTTTTATTTTTTTGTAATGCATCTAAGAATCCAAAAGGAGGAGCTGTGAAGCCTTCAGAATAAATTGATGATAAGCTGCATGCTTTGACCTTGGGTTTGTTGGGTCTTAGCTGACAAAGAAGGAACAGTGAGACTAGGGATATCTGGGCTGGTCTTCTACCCTGAAGCTTTTGTTGTTTTTTTTCAGCTTTCCTTCACAGGGTAGGCTTCTCTCTTTGCCCCAGCTCCCTTTCCAGTTCCTTTGCGGCTCTCCACAACAGTTCCCAGTTGCATCCTCTGTTTTTGCCCCTGCTGTCATGCAGGGTCTTACAACAGTTTATTGTGTTTTCTCATATCCCAGTCTGACTCTCAGTCTCTCTGCGTTTGAGTTGGGAAGATTATGGCAGCTTGTGCTGCCCCTTGCTATCAAGGCAGGCTTTATCCAGAACATTCAGTTAATATAATGTTTCTAGAGCAAGGTTATCATATTTACCAAAAAGGGCATGTGTGACAGGAATATGGGGTTTGGCTTGGGATTTTTGCATCTTCTACATATGTCTTCCTAAACTTTGTACCGTAGTGTGAACATTCTCATCTGAAGTTTCATAGACCTCTGAATTTTTAAAACATTCAGTGTGCCTGTGTGCAAAGGGTGTGCTCAAGCCTCGTAGGTGTGCCCCCTCTTATGGTGCGCCTCCTGCCTCGACAGTGTGGGTGTATTTTCTGTGGGCACTAGCACTGGGAAACACTCTTCCTGACTTTGCAAAGAGGGGCTGGACACAGCACCAGACACCCAGGAACTGCTGCAGCTGTGTCACAGAAGCAGGAGGGAGAATGGCGCTGTCCAAGAGCCGTGGGGCTGCTTCTGTCTCACTGCTGGCACCTTTTTTATTTTCAGGCCTGTTTATTGTACTATCTTGTGTTGTCAAATGCTTTAGCTTGTTGTTCTATTGTATTGAGTATATTTGTAGGATGTGGTCCCAAAATAAACAGTTCTGTGCTATATTGGGACACAGTGTTTATAAATTAATTTCTGTAATTGATTTCTGGGCCTGTGTTCTAAATGCACTGATTTTTATAATTGGGAGAAGGTAATCACCAAATACTGTTTCAAATCACTTCTTTCTTGAGGAAATGGCACGATGTTGTTGAATTACAGGAGTGGTTTGTGAATCCTGACTTCTGTATGAGATTTGTTTTGGATTCTTTGTGTGCTTTTGGTCAGTACATCACTAGTACTTGTCAATTTAGCCATTGATGTAGAGGGGTTGACATTTCAACCTTGAATCATCTGTAAGTACTATGAAGATTTATTCTTGTATTCTTTTGATGTTAATATAATTGAAGTTTATGATTCTATTGTATACAAATAATGTTTACCTCAAATATGTTTTTCACTAGGTTTTGTACTATCTGCTGTTCATTATAGTATTAATTTTTGTTGTAGTAGGTATGTTCACTATTTGAATTACTGCTTTGAGGAAAAGACAGTGTTGTCATTAGGAGAACAAAACAGCTTGTAGCAGTTTTACCGGATTTTATCCTTTATTCCTGAATTATTTTGTGGTTTAAAATTTGTTTCTTTTACTAAAAAGAATTTAGAATTTTCATTTAAGTCTATTTTTCATTATCTTAGAGTTGGGTTTCCTTGTTGCATATAATTTCTCATCTATGAGCTAGTAGCTCTGTCATTTTCCAGTTTGTCACGTTTTCTTGTGGAAATGTAATTTGACATAATGCTTACAATGGCTGCATTGTTTTGCTTATCTTGGTCAAAGAAAAAAGCAAAATATGAATTCCCAGACAGAAATATTTTGAGATTACAAAGTGATAAAGCTTTCTTATTTCCAGCAGATCATGCAGCAAAAGAGCCAGTGGAGGATACGGATCCAAGCACTCTTTCATTAACAATGGTATGTGTTTTGAGTCTAACGGAGTTCAAATCATTACAGTTCTCTATAGTTAGCTATGTAATGCAGAACTGAGGTAAAACATTTAAGAATGTTAAACTGTGAGTATATATGGGGTTTTGCTTATCTGTATGATTGCATTAAATTTTAATTTACTAACCTTGTGCAATTAAAGTAAAAATACCAATATGTAGATAAGTTGAATTGGATGATACCAGCTGAGCAGGCTTTCACAGTACCATTTTTCTTTTTAGTTGAAGATTGGTGACTGACATTCTTCTGTAGTATATGGGTTGGAGGGATAGGAAAACCCACCTAGGGCTTAAAATTTCAATTGTCCTAAGGCTTACTCCTTCCTGTACCTATTTTATCTGATGAGTTGAAGTCATGGAAACAGCGTAAGACAGCAGGCATGAGTGAACCTGGGGAGGGACCAAACAGCGCTCTCTAGTGCTTGCTGGCAGATCAACACCGTTTATGATAAGGTTTTATGTCTTAGGATATTAAGTGTGCCAGTCTTACGCTGATATATCAGATAACAGTAATATGAGTGTTACTATATGTGATTGTAGACAGATCAACAGATAACAATTTAAGGGATGTAACTATAATGATGCGTTGTCACATACTCTTTCTCCAGCACAATTACACTCAAAAGTAACAAACACCTGTCTCTTGCCTTTTTATGATAGACTGAAAAATACCCTGTTCAAGACACAGGAGTTCCTAAAGGTAAGTATTGCGAGTTCTGTCTGTTCAGGTGTTACAGATCTGTGTTATTATGTGCAGTAAAACAGTTGGTGTTAACCCTACACATTGAAATATCTTACTTTTTTTCTTAGATTCATATGTTTTAAATGCAGTGTCATCTTGTGTATTTTTGAGTCAGTTTATATATAACTTCTGAAATTTCCTTCCAAAGCTTAATTTTGATGAAAAAGTCAGTTTAAAGCTATCCTCAGAAGATCTTGGTTCTCACTCTGGAAGGAAAATACAGTGCTGCCACTGGAAAACAGTGTGCAGAGGACAGATGGTAGAAACACAATAGTGTTAGAAGGTGGATTTGAGGAAATTACCAGTGCCTTCAGATTATCAGAAATATAATCCAGAAATACCTTCCAGGTTTCTTGCCTCTGATTGCATTCTCAGCTCCATAAGAAATCAGCTCTTCATGCCATCTTTTACCTTTGTCAGGTATTAATAGCATCTGAATTCATTTTCACTGAAAATGAGGTGCCGGAGTGCAGGTTCTGTATTGCACCGAAGTCAAATACTTGGATTACACAGTGTGAATATCTCCTTTATGGTTTCCTTGACAGGTGGCGTGTTTTGTTTTTTTTTTGTCATCCTAGGCTTCACCATTGGCTTTTGCCCATGGAATACACTGCAGAGGCTCAGTTGAGGAGCGTTCTGCAGGTAGTATGTTCTCCATCCTGTGTTGCACAGCAGGACTGCAGTAGGGACAGACGCAGGAAACCATGCAGAAGCTAGTCACAGTGGAAGCTTTTGCTGTGTAAGCAGTGTACCACTGGGGTTAAAAGAAGGTTAGAGACTACTTTGGGGGCTTGAGGGAGCCAGCCAGAGGAAAAGAGCATCTTCTCAGAATTGCTGCTCAGTAGGGAAGGAGAATGCAGGATGAAGACTATTTGAAATCATAATTACTTTATTTGCAGGCAGGTGGTTTGTTCCTTCAAAAGTGTTTATTAATACTAAATCAATTTCTCTGTAATATTCTTTGTCATGTCCTGTTTTTTATTTCACCTGTGACATTATGTCCTCCTCAAAATAAATTAGATAAATTCCTAAATTTTGAATTTGTGAAAGTTGTTTGAAATCAGAGATTGCATGTTTTAAATGCATTTAATATAAAAAAAATTGCAGAGAGGAGGTAGAAATTTCAGCACTTTCTGTAGAAAGGAAGTGAACTCAGTTTTATTTTCATGTGAATACTAATGCAGTTGACATTTTACCTCTTGGTATTCTGTTCATTTCCGTGGTTTAAATTTTTTTATGAGAATGATTTTTCAAAACTATTTCTGTAAAAATGCATACTTAGAAATATGAATTTGTGAGCTAAAAAGTGGTATCAATGTGCATGTCTGTTTCTCTGTAATACAAAGTTATGTTTGCTTCAGATTTAATGTTTGAGTAGAGTAGGCTTAATGTTTACATCATGGTTTGATTATAATTCTACCTCCGCTCAAATATGAAACAAATTCACACAAATTTTTTCCACTCAAAGGAAGTGGAATGTTGGTGCCAGACCTTTTTGGTTTTTATTATTATTTTTGTTGTTGTCTCTGGATCTACAGTCGTAAAGAATAAAGATGATCCTCATTAAACATTTATCCTGCTGGGGGTGGAATGCAATTTGGCTTTAAGTTCCAACAGTGTTACAAGACCAGAAAAAGAGGAAAATTAATTTTATTTTTTTTTTCTTCCAAGTGTAAGGATAAATTCTTTGATTCAGCTCAATTTCTTGAGTGAGATGAGGAGCTATGCCATGTTTCTGCTATCTGATGATTCATAAGCAGCTATTCTTTAATGAGATCTTACCATTAAACAAACAGCAAATGGAAAGGCATGAGCACTACAAACAGCCATCACTATGGCTTACTTGTGTGTAAAAACGTGTAGAATATAATCTCTTCTAATGCTGTGTTAATGGTTGGTCAGCACCTGACACGGGAATTATGCAAATGGTTTTATATTAATCACGCAGAGTGAAATTTGTCTGTTTGCACAAGGTTCACAAAGGGCTTATATATCACTTGTACCTTGTTTTGAGGGCTGAAGTAAGGCTTGAAAGGTAAATAAAGTTTATGCTGTTCTGGGGAATGTTGTGCTTTTCAGTGGGCTTCCAGGTCGGTCAATAAACACACTGAAATAGATTACTTCAGCACTTTAGAAAACTCCTGTGTAGTAGCGATAAGTAGTATGAGCTTAATTTACAAAAGGGTAGAATAAAAGGTAAATATTTGTGTAGTCCGTATTTCAACAATTGTTATTGTAAGTGTGACAAGAAAAGCAAAGCAAAAATTACAGTGACTTGGAACAGTTGTCTTCAGCCTGCTTTCATATATTGGTTCAGTTTGGCCTTTTGAAAGAAGAGCATGACTCTTGTTTCAAAAATAGTGTGGTGTTTGTTTAAAAAGCAACTGCCACACTAATACCTAGTCTCTGCAAGGTTTATTTTAATTCACACGTTGTGCTCTGCATGATTGTTGCAGTCTCTGCCAAGTTAATATTAGGGCTTTTAAACCAGCATTTCTCAGTGGCTGTGGTATGCAGCTAAAGGTTATAAGTTAGATACCTATAATTTACATTTGATAGTCTTAATATTTAAATTTGTATTTGGGTGGAAGACCAGTGTTTTACAATCTTTGTCTTAGATGAGGAATACCTAACAGATCAAGTTACACTGGAAATTGCATCTGTGAACATCAAGACCCTTACATCAGATTCTGGCCTAATCCAGCAGGTAAGAAAAATGATGCCTGAATGTAAACTGAATTATTGCTGTTTTTTAAATAAGTATGTTAACAAATAAATCTGTCTTCCGTCTGTATCAGGAGAGTGTGGAATTACTCAGTAAAACAGATCAGGAATAGACTCTCTTTTTTGAGTTCAATGAAGTGAGCTTTTGTGGAGAACAGCAAAAGAAAGGTTATATAATCATGTGTATTTCATAGTTTAAACAAGTTTTGGTTAGTGGAAGATGCTCCAAAGAAGAACTGACAAAGAATTAAGGCTTTGTCATGCATGCTTTTCCTCTTTCCTGATGAGAATAGAGCCAGGGCAGAGAATAAGTGAAGAAGTAAGCAATCCTAGGTTTTGGGGTTTTGCTCTGCGAGAGGCATTTTACTCTTCTGCTTTGAATATGGGACACAGCTCCTGGTATAGTGGAAACACTCTCGTGTTTGTCAAATCTTATGTTGCAGTAGGGTGGGCAGTGCTGAGTGACCTCCGTGCTCCATGGTTACCATCTTTCAACTGAATGTTTTTTGCTGAATTTTAAATAGATTCTCTTTGGGTTGAGCAGAAAACTTGGAGAAGAGAAATGAATGAGCATTTTCCAGCAAGACAATTAAAAGGAGTTCCTTATGCCAGAGTCCCAGCTGAGTTTCATCAGGAAAAAAACATGGGTTTGATATGCATTTCACAGATGGTGGAGCTAACAGTCTTATTCCCATCATCAAGAGGAGATCATTTAGGGTTTTCATTAGACCTGTAGAGGTCACGACTAAAGTGGGCAAAAAATACTCTTGCTTAATGACATCCTTTCATGGTCAGTAACCCTACATTGTCCTATTGCAATTACATTACAAGAAAGTTATCTTGAATAAATCTGAGTGCATCTGACTTGATAAAAGTGGATTATAACTGATCAGTAAAAATAGAATTTTTTAAAACAGATGTGTGGCACAAGTTAAGTATCTCCGGTTTTCTTTGTACTTTTTGCAGTACTAGCCATTCTTGTTATTTTTTACCACAAGACATGAGTATAATGACATCTCTTAAAGGCATTTAGATACTAACTTTCACAATATGGTTTGAACTTTCATGAATTCATAGAATCTGGGAAATGTTACTGGAGCTCTGGAGCTCAGGACAGGAACTTAGCTATTGCAGACTAAGTGAATGGTAGCCACTTTTTTTCTCTTTTTTTTTTTCTTTTTTTTTTTTTCTTCCTTTAGTTGTTATTTGCTTGTTTATTACTTTTCAAACAGGTCTCTGGGGAGGCTGGATCTGTGATGGGCAGCTCCTCATTCTCCCGGTGATTTATCCCTCTGGGGATTAGTTCGTCAGGGCTCAGTAACAATGTTCTACTTTTTTAAGGGATTTGTGGGAATGGAGACAATTATTATAATCAGGATCTCCAGACTTAATTTTTCTTAAACTTCTGGTGCTCACATGGTGCCATGAAGGTAAAGCTCATGTATAAAAAGCTCTGTCCAGAGAAAGCTTAAATGGTGCTGGTGGAAAAGTAAACTACTAGAATATAATAGCAAGGATTATTCTGTTGGAAGTGGCATGTGTAGTGTTAGATCTCTCAAGCAGAGAGCAGACATTTTGTGAGGTGAACTGATGTTGCACGTGTTCTTGCAGTTTTCAGGGAATAAAGAAATGCTGAAAACAGCATGCAAATTTTTCCTTTCCTAGCAAAGTCTTTAAATATTTTTTGAGGTAGTTTACCTTCTTTATAATTGGACTGTGAATGGCATGTTCACCACATCAACTGAAACTGCCTATATTCTATTTTTAGTGGATTTCTTAGTAAACAAGGTGTAGCAGGTAGGAATAGAGTATCTTATTACGCTGTGTTGTTACGCAGTTGACTTGTGTTTGCATGCACTGCCTGCAAAATGTAAAGGAGCCTCCTGTGATAGTTTTGGAAGAGTGAAGTGATACAGAAAATCAACAATGTTTGATTGCAGCTATCAAAGGGGAAAATCCCCGTCTTGAAATCTTTCATCTTGAAATCACCAGCAGAAGAAAGCTATTTCACCTGGCTCCACACCCGCAAAGTTAATGTAAGGGCAGCTGCAGTTTCCTGCAGTCCTAGGAGCAAGGTACTGCCTTTCTAGGTTTTACATGTTGCTCTCTAAATAGAAGAATAGAAATGTTACAATGTGTGTTGCAGACTTAAGCTGCTAAGTAATTTCATGATGTTTAATTAGCAGGCAAAAAGCCACAGACAGAATGTTTACTTTGAACAGGAGGAGGGTTACACATGAGTCAGCAATGTTCAAGTCCACCTGTTGCCTAGAAAAGCTTCCTGTGTATGTGAAGAAGTTTGTGAAAAAGCTCCTCCACTTTTCCTAGATAAATGAAACAATCCCTTACTGCTGCATATCACAGGCAAATTCTTGATTTTTTTCATTACAAAGCATTTAAAAATGTTTTTAATAAAACCATATGAATTGTTGAACAGCTGTTGAGGGTTTTATACTGCATTATTCAAAAGATGTAACCCTATAGCATATCATTAATAAGGATGGCATTGTTGAGTGGGTATAACCAACAGGGCAGTTCTGTGAGCCAAAACATGAGAATGCTGCCTGAAAGGACTGCAGGCTGTCAGTAATTCCTTGAAATCGGATATATTCTATGTCTGACTTTACAGATAGCTTGGGGTTCTTCTAAGTAATCTCCTGCCATGTGTAAATTAGCCAAGTAGTTATTCTGGTGTTCAAATACATTGTTTTGATTTTATTTATATTTGTTTTCTGCTTTGTAGCCAGAAGACAAAGACATGCAAAGCCATACTGACGACTCACTGGCAGGTAATATGTCAGCTTTACTGTTCTGTATATTTTATTTCTAGGTTATCTTTTAAAGTACTTTATTAAAAATTGGTATTAGTCATAACCAAGAACTGCCTGGGTAAACTAAGGCATTACCAGAGTCATTTACAGCTCCCTCTTTGTTCTAAGGGGATGGTGATCAATAATACAGACCATACAAAATGTGTGAGTTGGGCTTTCCAAATAAATATAGTATATCCACCTTTGTAAGAAATCTGTAAACACCTCTTGAATAAGCAGAAGCTGACAGAAGGCTGTGGGGCTTTATCCCATAATTGTATGAGCTGTCTTGGGGATGGAGTGTGTGTGGATGATACACAGCCCTGTTAATCTAACAGTGAACAAGTGAGGATTTCCTCTTAGTAAAGAAGCTTGCCCTGTTGTGTAGCATTAGGATCATGCAATTAGGTGGTTAGGTCATCATTTGCTTATCGGTATCTAACACCAGGGCATCTTAGGAAAAGCAGGATCTTTTATAGTGCTTTTGTTAGTCTGTACACAGTGTAGCACATGAAGCAGGTTGGTTTAGTTTTGTTTACCTATAACTGTGCCCTGTGTTTTCCTTACACCTTCATCCCTGCTGCTATTGGAGATAAAACTTACTTTGGCATCCTTGCAAAGCAAAGTAAGATGAAATTTAGATAGGTTGCTCTCCTGCCCTTTGAGCCAGAGGCTCAGCAAGGGCTTTGACTGTATATTCATTTTGCCTTGTTTGTGTAACTAGGTATCGGTACAAGTGAAGCAAACAAATTTTGTCTCACTTCAAGAAGAGTTTATGGTGCAGAAAAAGAACAGAGTACTTAACATAGATATTTCTATACAGAACAGCTGCAAGGCCTGTGGAATACCTGTGAGTGAAGTTGTCACCAGAATGTGTTTCCCCTTAGCAGGGAATCTGAGCATTTGTATGAAGTTATGTGTCTGCAGCAGTGTTGCTGCATGTCCTGACTTGTTGAAAACTTCAGAAATTGTCTCTGGCCTGCTAAAAAAGCAAGCTGATGAGCAATGTTACAAAAATAACAATAGCCTGTTCTTCCCTTAAAAGCAAAACCTAAAGCCTGTGCAGAAGCTACATTCAGCTCACAATTTGATGGTCTTTCTGGATTTTTCACATAATCTGGCAATAATTACTGCAAATGAAACAAAAACCCAAACAAACACAAAACAAAACAAGAAAACCAACGACCAAAATAGGACACCTTCCCCACCAAAAGAAAACAAAAAGTCACAACCTTAACAGATGCTGTTGTCTGTATGAGTAGGTGGCATTAAGTACCAGATCTGCCCTTTGCCAGGGATACAGTTCAGGTCTCTTAGACTGGCACTGATCCAGCACTTGTATATTGTGTGTCACAGTTTTATATTGGTTTTAATTACTCTTTTGATTAATACAAGTTTTCTTATTGTAGTGTCCCTTTTTCAAAGAGTTTCATCCCAAGTAGGACCAGTTATTTCCCAAGTTCAAGCTATCCAATAAGGCTGAAGAGAAGCAGCTTTAGAACGTGCTTGTAGGCTGCAATCATGATCTACCACTCTTTGGAGATACACGTTCTCCTTGCCTTCAAAAAGGAGCAGGGAGGGTTAAGGTCATATTTGCAGCTAAAATGCTCACACAGTGACCTACACCACTGCAATGTTAAAGGTTTTGGTATTAGTTTTTAACTAGCAGTATGACTAGAACTGGTTTCTGCAAACTATTACAGGTTATTAATTTATAATATTGCCTGATAGCACCACATTGTTCACACTGCACACCACATTGTTTCACACTGGGGAAATACTGACTGGTGTGTGTGTAAGACCTCAAAATGGCAATTTTTGGTATTTGATGCACATTTTGGAACATATCGCCACCTACATCCAGCAGCTTGGTATTCTGGAGGAGTATGCACTTTCTTCCTTTCCATAATGTACATTTTAAACAGGCTTGCTTGGTAGAACAGGGCATCTATTATTGTAAGAGCCCTATAAAGCAAAGGAACATTTGAACTTACTCATTGTGTTAAAATACTAAATGTTGTGTTTGCAGCTGTCAGCAGAGATTCTCCTCATGAAAATGTCTCATGTAGTTATGAAGGCAGCAGCTCAGAAGTGCAAAACCTTTTCCTTCTTCCTCCATCACATGTTTATGAGATGCATGTCATATGCACATAATCCTGTTGGTGATGTAAGCAGGGGTTATGGCAGATTTGAGGAAGTGACATAGTCCAACAGCAAAAAAACGGAATTGGCTGGATTGAATTGCATGCCCTTTCTATAAAGTATAAATATGATACTTTCAAAATTACCGCCTTTTGATTATAGCCACTGAGTGTAGTGGCTGTTTCATGAGTACTTCATAAGGAAAGGCATTATATGTCACTATTCTGACTTTCTCTGAAATTATTCACAGGAACATAATACTTTACAGCCTTTTGTGCTTTTAACTTTGTGTGCCTGGTGAAACCACAGCAATAGATCCTAACTTCTTCCCATGTAATGGTTCTCACTGCAGATCTCAAGAAAACCTGCAAGGAAAATGGCACCTGCTCCTTGTGCTTATTCCGTGCACCAACCATCAGTGACATGCTCAATGATGAGGACTTGTTGTATACAGTGAGGATAAAGCTGGATCCCTGCCACCCAACAGTGAAAAACTGGAGGAATTTAGCAAGCAAGTGGGGGATGACTTATGATGAATTGTGTTTCCTTGAACAGAAGCCCCAAAGTCCCACCTTGGAGTTCTTGCTACGGAATAGTGACCGGACTGTGGAGCAGCTGATTGATCTCTGTAAATTTTATAAGAGAATTGATGTTGTGAAAGTGCTGCTGAAATGGGTAGAGGAGGAATGGCCCAAAAGAGGGAACAGAACTTACCAGAATGACTTCTAGGTCAAAGAAAGTTGTTAGTCCATGCGTATTAAATGCTGGGACTAGCTGCTACATGGGAAGTTTCCCTTGCAAGAGAGAGAGAAAGCCTGTACTGACGGTTTGTATACTGTGTAAGCTCTATGTACTGTATACACATATATATGTTCTGTGCCCTCGGGGTTGCAAAGATAACCTTGCAAAAGTAGATGGAATATGCAGGTTGGTTCTTGAGTCTACAAATGCCTTCAGTTCCTGTGGTGCTGTTTGTAGGCTTCCTAAGCAGAGGAGGTATGAAAAAGCCAGCCCCTGGTTTCACAGCAGCCCTTGTGAACCATGTCAGTTGTGTGTTGTTGCTACTGGGAAAGGCACCACTAGAAGGCAAGTCTTTGGGCCTTTCTGGCAGCCCTTCCACAGTTTTGTATGTTCTACCTGGTAGAAGATGTGTTATTTTTTTCTTTTTTTAATTTTCTTTTTAAGCTTTATGATACTGTTTTTGCCACAGGAACACCTCAGTGTTCCAAGCAGCAGTTTGGATTTGCATACTACAATTGATCCAGTGTTTCAACATCACGTTCAGGCAAGTTAAGCTTTACATCTTTTTTAGACAAGAATAGGTGTTAAAATAATTATTTGCATCACAGGGCATGTATTTGCTATAGAAGAAGTCATGCAATTCAGAGAGACTTTCCAGCCTATAACCAATAGGGACCAAAAAAGTACTTTCCAAAGTTTTGAAGACAATATATACTCTGAGTGCACTTATCTTGAATGCCTCTTGCTTTGCAGTGTAAGGTGGCAGCTAATGCCTCACTCACAGTATATCCTTAAGTATTGAGTATAACTTCCCCTTTCACATGCTGTGGCTTGACCTACTTTCTGTCTCATGCTGAAGTAGTTGCACACTTGCATGAGACTAGCACAAATTTATATATTGATGAAAGCCACTTTAATGGGAAATTAATAGGTAAATTCATCTACAGTCCAGGTGGATGGTTATTAAAGCACTTACACTGGTTTGGACTGATGTTTCTCAAAGAATTTTGATACTATGAATTACAATTTACACTTTAAATATTTTAGAAATTGGTATTTTTCCTACCATTATTCTGTATTCTGATGTTTAACTCCTGAAAAATCAGTTACACAATACAGTGTGTAAAGTACTTAAGCTATAATGCCACACAAAAATGTTGTAACTTTAAAATACTTCTAGTTGTTACCCGTACCAAAAGCATCTCAAGACAATACTAATATGTACATAGGTGTATATACCAAAGCACTGGTGAACAGTATGTCAAGATGTGGGAGAAAAATAGAATGGGGTACAGGTTGATGCACTGTTTACTTTTCTCTAGTAGAAATTACTAAGCATTAGTAGCAAAGCTGAGGGAAGTCTAATGCTGTATACCGAGTTTCTTACTCTAAGAGAATGAAAAGGGACCTCTTGTAATACTATACTATAGATGCTGAGTGATACAGTTACAGAGGAGGTGGAAGTAAAGACTAACATTTTCAATGTCAGGCACTAGTTCTGAGGTGACAATTTTATTTTAGTGACTTCAGGAAGCTGAAGGTACAGTTTCAAGGGGAAAAGACTGACCTAAATTTGAGGTTTGATTTTTTTTTTTTTTTTCTTGTAGAAGACTGGAATTTTTAATACCTTTTTTTAAAAAAAACACATTCCTCATAAAAGCTGCTACCCTTTAGAACAGTAAGTCTTCTAGCTATATATTAAAGAGGAAATTGTTCTTGGGGCTACAGTTCAAATGTTTTATGTTCCTCTTCTAGAAACGGGGTTTGTGTTTCTCTTATAGAAAAAGGGGTTTCCTGATAAATGTCTGTCAACTCTTAATTTTTTAAAATAATCTTCTGTCTTTAGGTAGGAGCTCTAGAATCTTCTTTGAGGACTCCTGCTGTGGCTGGGCTTCCTGCTATGTTCAATACCTACAGAGGCAGCCACTGCATACATGCAAATAGCTCATAATGCAGCTTGTCCAATGTAATTCCTATACCTTGGGCCTACTATATCCATGATTTAGGATCATTTGTCAGTGTATAAGTTGTTCTTCTGAGTGAAGAGTGCTGGCATATATGCCAACAACTTTTCTCTCCCATAATATACCACAGCTATATGTGTCTGGTGTTATAGCATGCTCTGCTTTGGTAGATGGAGTCCAAGAAGGAGCTGGAGCCCTCACCTAAGAATCACGATGTGAGTATGAGATGATGCAGCAGCATTCCTGAATTGGGATGTTCAACTGGAATCTACCCCTTTTCCTGTTTTATGGCTAAAACTTTTAAAATTTTGAAGAAACACTGTTGTTCCTGATCCTTTCTGATCCCTTGAAGATCTTGAAAAGTCAATGTCAGCTGCTAGGATTTATGTCTGATGGAAATAAAGCTGCTTTTGAGAGTTCATAGGTGGATTCTGCATAAATCCAGCACTGAAGGTTGAAAATGTTAGCCTTATACTTCATCACACACTGGATTACTAATTAGTATACTTGAAATATTTTTTTCCTCTTTGTATGGATTGAGATGTGCACACATTTTTGGGTTTTATATCTATTTACAAGATATGGGGTCTGAGTGTTCAGTTTATACTTGTATCTTCTGTTATAATGTATACTATTTTTAGAAGAAATATAGATTGTCAAGGGTTGACTTTATTGTATTTGTTTTTATTACAGCTAGGAAAACAGCTGTTTTTCTCTCACCAGTCACCTTGGAACCACTGAACTATCAACTAGGTGTGCTCTGTAAAAATGCATTTTATCTACAAGACTTATGGCGTCTTAGAGCACCTATCTTTGCAACAGATACAGCTGTTCAAGAAAGGAAGAACACTTTTTAATCTTTAGAATATGAAAAAGGAGTTAATTTTGATAAGATGATGACCAAAGACGTTTATCTAGACACTTGCAGTGGAGTTACTAACTATAGAGAGGTATGAAACCTACACTGGTTGAACTGTTCCTGAATTAATAACCTACCTGATAATGGTTAGAGAATCATATAGACACTGAAATGGCTATCAGTTTTGTTCCATTACAGCTTCTATTCTTGTATGAGACTCTCTCTCTTCAGGTATTTCTGGGTTTTTTTGGCTGCCATCTCTGTGCCTGCAGAATAATCAGTGGCCCTTCCCATCCTCTTTAGCTTCTATGAAGATATCCAAACCACTATATTCTTTCATTCCTACAGCTTTATCTAAGACATAATGAGTCTAATAACCATTCTTCAACAGCAAAGTTGTGTGCTCCAGGAGCCCCTAGTTTTGCTGTGAGGTCAAGTATGGGGCATCCCCAGCAAAATGGTAATTCTTGTCTTCATGCCTTTCTTTCTGCATGCCCTTTGATCTGTGGAGAGGAAGGCAAGATGAGTTTGGGGCTGTCCTTTGGAAGCCCACTGTAAAGGATAGGGTAGTCAGTATAGCCCCAGGTCCTTGCTTGGAAGTAAGTTGTACAGAAACTGTAAACCATGCTTCTTTATTCACTACTGAATAATGGAGCTTGCAGCACTTTGTGCAAGAGAGTGCATGTTTTCCACTGTCTCAAGCTGCCTCACTCCCACAGTTCCGAGTCAAGCTGTTAGCAAGTGGGAAAAAGTGTGAATTCTGCCTTATGGTGGTTTAACTTAGGGTCACACTGTTGACTTGTGGCCAGATATATTTGGAAATTTTTTGTCAGCAGAATCACTTAAATAATATCAAAGAATGTACATGGCATTTATAGTAATGTAAGGAGCAGCCTACTTCTGTAACTTTTACAGCATATCATGTTGTTCTGTCCATGAAGGAAATGCAATTAGTGATTCTTAACTAATTTCAATGTATCTTGTAAGTCTTAAGTTTTGGGTCAGTTTTGGACAGTAGGGCAGAGTGCTGCTAAATGAGGACTTGGGCTTGTTGCCTGTTTTGACTGAAAAGTGCTTTTCCTAGTCCCTGAGCTCAGCTAGTCCTGATTGCATTACTAAGGTCAGTTGTTGGCCTTAAGTGGGTAGAGAAGATATGGATCTACTGGTCATACAGGCTGAATATAGCAGCCCTAAGAATTTATTTGGAAAGGTGGAATCTGTAGTGTTTGTTTGCCTGTACCTCAGCCAAGGACTGGGACTGACTCCATCTTACAAGAAACTGATGGCAAAGCAGAGTTTACAGGCTTGGGGAAGGCTTACCTGTATCCTCCCTTGGGGGAAGAGGGGGAGCAGCTAAACAGCTAGACAGGCTTACTAGTTGGTTTGGTCTGTGTATTTTACGTTTGCAAAATGGTGATTCTTGATTTCAAAGGCAGGTTGTTGGGGCAAATGTGTATTTGTTACTGTGGTAAATGTGAAGAAAATAGAGCAGTGCGAGTTCTGTTAGGATGGCATCAGCAAGGTTGCTGTCGCCTTTTTAAATTTCAGCATGAAAGAGTACTGGTATGTTTGCTTTATTCAGGCTTTGTTTACTGGCCTTCACAGTACTATGAAGATGGAAATTAAAATTTGAGAAGAGATGACAAAGAAGTATCTTCTGTCAGAAATAACTGGTGAGAAGTAATGTATGTCTATGGTGTTAATGTGCTCTTTCCTCTGATGTATGTACAGAAATAGTTTCCTTGACTAAAAATTTTAGTTATTTACATCTGCATTATTTTTTATTATTTTTTCTTTTTAGAAAATTCCAGAAACAAGGCCAAATGTGTTAGCAGCTTGGATAATAAATGTTCTGTGTACATCATGAGATAGATATGCAACTTTACATAGCCACGTGAAGCTGCTTTTTTTTTTTTTATTATGAGTTTGCTTCAAAATTACCCCGTATTTAGAATCGTAGAATCTAAGAATGGTTTGGGTTTGAAGGGACCTTAAAAATCATTCAGTTCCAGTGCTTTTTGTTGCTGAAAATAACCAAAGTTTCATGTTTTTGATGACGTAAAACACATTCACACAACTAAAAAGTTTCGTAACAGGAACAGTCAAGATAAGAATCAGACGGGCACCCAAATCCTTACACTAGCAAGAATACCTTCAGTCTAAATTGAGGATATTTTTTTTTATGTTTGTGCTTAAGATATGTGAGCTTCCCATACCGTTCTCAGGCTTCAGTTCATTCACAATCCTATAAATAGTTTACTAGGGTTTTTTCTTGTCCTGATTTACTCGTGTGTACTTTTTCTGAAGCTGCAGAGTTTACGTGCTCAAAGGGCTATTAAAAGACTATTTCACTCTAACCATCAGGAAACACCTACCATCTCGTGGTAAGAGGTGATACTGCAGCCCTCTTGTATCCTTCCAAAAATGCAGGAAAGGCTGAGGCCAAGTGAGTGGATTGGTAAGTGCAAAGACCCACCGAGGAAATCCAAAGACAACTGCAAAGAGGATGATGGTGTAGCTAAGGTGTGAAGGTGTAGTCCTAGGGATCTTGAGTCTGGCCACTGTCTCTAGTTTGGAGAACATCACACAGTTTTGCATTTTGCACAGGTGTGTGATGTTTGTTATCTCCCTAGGTAGATAGGGACTGAGTCACTATGGTTAGACTTTGGCACAAGCATCTTTTCCAAGGCAGACCGGGCAGGAATAGGCACAGGCTTGCACTAGTATCTAGTGGTGCATTGCCATATAAGCAGTATGTACTATGGAAGAAGCTTCTAGTTCTGGTTAGGATTTTCCTTGTGGGTTAATCAGACAATGATTCATTAAAATATACTACATGCTGCCATGGAGCATGTTGTTGAGGCCGAAAAGTGGTGTCATTGACCTAAAAATGAATTGAGAAATTCATGGTCTGTTTATTCTGTAAGATGGTGCAATTGTAGCACCTGGCCCAGAAAGTCCTAAACAGCTAATGGTCAGAAGCTGAGGGTGTTGTAGTGTTTGCTTGTCTTGATTCTCCCTCTGTTCTTCCAGGCAGCTTGTTACAGCCGCTATCTGTAATGGCTGTAAGACTCTTTGACTTGATGTGGTACAACCAGCTTTGTCTTTACCAGACCATTGATGTTTTGTACCAACCTTGAAAGAACAGCAGTACTTAAGAAGCTGTTATGGTACTGTATGAATCAGAAAAAGGACAAATGTAGCCAGTGGGGCAGCCAACCCTGCCCTCCTGCTAAAGTCAGCATAATTTGGGGCTTTGGTACATAAGCTAGGAAAAAAAGCAAATAAACATATCTGAACATGGGGAAACCACAAGTAACCTATTACAGAAAGTGCTGGATAGGCCTAAAAAGGAAAAGCAGCTGCTTACATAAAGGGAAGAATGGTGTTTTGAATTGTGGAGAGAAGTGTTGAAAAAGGGACCTGTGAAAGGTTTTGCAATGTTTGTGTCAAGTCTAAGGACTTCTCTTTAAGTAGCTCACCGTTACTTCGTAGAAATTTTATAATTGGAACTGTGTATAAAATATTGGGCCAAGTAAGTGTGACTGTGTATGTTGTTATCCTGATTCTAGAATCATAGAATAGTTAGGGTTGGAAATGACCTTAAGATCATCAAGTTCCAACCCCCCTGCCATGGGCAGGGACACCTCACACTAAACCATATCACCCAAGGCCTTGTTCAACCTGGTCTTGAACACTGCCAGGGATGGAGCATTCACAACCTCCCTGGGCAACCTGTTCCAGTGCCTCACCATCCTAACAGGAAAGAATTCCGTCCTTATAACTTGTTGCCCTGAGAGGTACAGGTATAGAGGCTGGGAAGCAAGGATGGGAGTCTGCTTAAGAAGTCTCCTTTGAGAAAGTAGGATACCATGTAATCATGTACTTTGTGGTGCTGCTGAAAACTGGGAGGCCTTGGAGGGCAGGAGCAGATAGCCAAATGGCAGCACATTGCTAAGGCAGCTGGCAGAGCCAAATCACTGCTGGAGTGACTCCCAAAGGACAGAGCAGCTTGTAATGCTTCTGGGTCTGGTGCAGTTTGGATGCTGCCCTGCTGCCCAGCAGAGAAGGCACCAGTCTCTGCTTTGGAGAAATGCAGATGTAAGATGAGGTGTTTACTGCAGGATGAAAGAAGCAAACATAGCAGCACCTTTACCAAGAAATTACAGGAGGGCTCAAAGTCATCTATGGCTGTAGTCTTTCTATCCAATGAAGTGGTGTTTGTTAAGCTAGTTAAGTGAATATGTGAGGTTAAAAATAGTGCCTGGTCATCAGTTCAATTTTCTCAGATCTCTGAGTGAGCTTTAACTGTTACTAGCATGGCCTGTGTTGCTGTCAGAAGCTTACAGTGAAGCATGCTGCAATTATACAGGTGATTGTAACACACTGTGTCAAATCCATTTTTGCTGACAACAGACTCGGCAAGCACAATCTTTATCTAAACTAAAAATTCACTGTCACTATTAGACTCTGTAATCTAACAATAGAGCTGCTTATGTCTTGAGGGTTATTCCCCTCCCAGTTCTTGTAGTTGGGGCAGGAAAGGCAGGTACACTTTTTTTGCTCTAAAAGCAAAAGCTGGAATTAGGATTTGGACCGTGGAAATAAGAGAAGACTTTCTTATTTGTTGTCATGACTGCCATTAGTAAATGGTGCTAAAAATAGCAATCATAAGAAACCAGCTGGGAAATGACAGTCTGAACAAACCAACTGCAGTGTAATGCAAGGCTGCTCAAGCAGTAACCCGACTGACTCATTGTCAGGGGTTCAGTAGGGTTGGGGGCTGAAATAGGGGTTTTCCTATAAATTTCATAAACTGCCTTTAAGAGGTGATCAGCATGTTAATCAAACAGCTGTTCTGCTTCAGTAGAGAACTGGTGCATACTTTAAATCACCATATTTCTTTGGATCATTTCTTCCCAAAACTAGAGGAGCTCTGAGCCAGAAGGAGTAGTAAAGCAGTAAAACTATTCTCTGTGGTTCTTCAGGAAACACTTCCACTTAGTGCTTCTCTTTTCAGTATCACTACTTCTTTATTCCAGCTTGTCAGCATCTTTCCTGTCCTTGTTTGACCTGCATTTTCAAACCTTCTTTAAGGTTGCTTTCTGAGAAGTGAAGGCATTTCATGTCCTTCTGTCAGTTTAATCAAAACTTTCTACTTTTTAAACTACTGGAACAATACTTCAAAGGAAAATGTATGTGGTAGTTCAAGCTCTAGGACCTTTTCTTATTCCTTTTTAGAAGAGTGCTGTGGAATTTTGTAGAACAATTGAAAAGCATGCTTTTTGTTACCACCTGACTACAGGCAATAGTTCTCTGTTCTCTCTCAAAACCATGCATGACTCTTAAGGCATCTTTCCCCAGGCAATCTGCTTTGCTGCTCTTCAATCCAAATAGCTGCAGTTCCTAAATGTTACCATACCTTTCTGTGAAGGAATCCTTCAGGTCTCATAGAGCTACTGTATCCCTTAAAGCAGAACCCATACAGCTAGTAGCAGTACTCTAGCAAGTAGATATGATTTTGTATGTTGTTGGGGTTTTTTTTTTTGTGCTGGTTAATTGTAGAATAGAAGATATTATCTAGCTAAGGTATTGAAATGGTCTTTGTGACAAAAGTGGCTGAATACCATTCTAACTCTGCTGTAGCCATGGGCGCTGCTTCTTGCAAGGCAAAGAAATGCTGAATCCCTGTAACTGAATAGGGTATGGTGATTTAATTTTGTGGGCATTTTCTGTTGCAACCTTTATTTTTGTACTCATTTCCCCCCCATCCAGCTTATAAACAGGGAGAGCTTTAAGTAATGCTTCTCTGAGCAGCTCACTGTTACACATCATGAGCTGCAAAGCTACTAGGGACTTCATTGCCTTATGTGCTTACTCGACAGAAAAAGCCAGAAGCACACTTTGTGAGGCCCGTGAGGGAACAGGAAGATGAAAACACAGATTTGGTGCGAGGGGTGTAAGATTTCCAGGTTTCAGAAACTTCACTGTACTGGAGAAACAAATGATCCAGTCGGCTTTGAAAATCGCATTTGTGTCTGGTCACAGGTGATGGGGTCTTCCTGGGTATCTATCTGGGAAGAGATGGGTTATGCTGTAAGAAGGGACCTACAGAAGACACACGAAGCAGAGAGGAAGTGAAAGTTTCGCAAAGGAAGCTTGTGGTAGCCTTAAGGATTTGAATTAACTCCGTGACCAAGTTGTTGCTTTAGCGCTTGTAAACGCGAGCCCAGGGGCCAGGGTCCTGTGGCACGGCGTGGCCTGGGCCCAGCCGCCCTATATGGGCAGGGCGTGAGCCACCCCAGGAGCGGGTCGGTGCGGTTCCCGTGGCACGTCAAACTCACCTGAGTACCGGGCGCAGCCGCGGCAGTGTATCAGCCACCACCACGGCCGGTCCCGGGAGAAACACCGCCCGCTGTGGAGCCCAGCGTAAGGTTCACGCCTTGCCTTGCGCGGTGACGTCGGAGGCGGCCGGAAGCGTTTGGGAGGGGCCGGTGCGGGCACGGAGCCGGTGCCGGGGTGCAATGGTGTGGGCGGGCAGCTTTAGCCCGCGGGTCTGCAGGCGCTGCTAGGCACGGAGGTACGTTGTCCCGTCGGGGGAAACCGGAGGGTAAAAGTAGTAAGAACACCTCCCGCCCTCCCCCGGGAGCGCCTGCCCGGCGGGGAGAGCGGCTGCTCCCCGGTGGGGCTGAGGCGGGCCCGACTGAAGGAGGGGTATCTGTGCGGCCGGAGCTCTCTCGGGGCGCGGTAAGGCAGAGGTTTCCCAAGCGTCCCGGTGGAATTCGACCTGTGTCCTTACAGCGTGTTGTCTGGTCGGGTTTATAGCTGTGAGGGGGGAGGGCACGGGACTGGTGTTTGGTACTTCAGTCGCTTGCAGATACCCAGAAAGTGTCTCGCTTACTCTCTCTGCAGAAGTCTTGTGTGCCTTGGTGTAAAACCTTGGTTTTGTGTTACCCTCATTTGTGTTACCCTCATGAAAGGCATTTTCTGCATGTCACACTGGGACAGTGTAATACCTGATTTTTGGTCTTTATGTTTTCCTTTTTTTTGTATTGAAGAGGCTTTCAGCTGCTTTGCAGTGTGTGAAATAACAGGAAATCATATGTGCCTTTTTCAGTTCTAAAAGTAGTCAGAAAACCTTAACTTGGAGTGCTGCATACTTAAGATTTGGCATTCCATGTTACAGAACCTCATCCCATTGCTTTGCCATAATGCTACCTGGTCTGCCAAGACCAACAGTCCTGGATCCTCCTTCAGCAGGATCCCGATTTCTGTTGCACACCCAGGGGAGTTCAGTGAGCAGGCTGTTAAACATGGGGTTGTAGCTTTCGGTTTTGTTTTCTTGGGGGTCTGCTATTGGTCTTTCTGATGCTAAAGGCAGAGTTATAGTTTGCTTTGGTCTTGATTTCTTCCTTTTCAAAATTAAAACAATTAAATTTGTCTGTCTTTGCATATTCCTGTTGTGAATTGATGGTGTTATCTCATGAGAAGATCAAAGGTGCAAAACAGGGTACCTTATATTCTCTGAATTGTATTCTAGATATTGGTTTTAAGTATGAGAAATAATACCCTTCTGACCCAAATCTCCTGCAAGATAAGCTAAATGTTGCAATGGGCCACTCCATTGTTGAATCATTGCAGAAGATTAACCCCGGGGCCCTGTGGAACAGGTCACAGACCTGAGGGGTTTGATTTAGTGGTGGGTTTTTTTATTCCTTTTTTTTTTTCTTCTGATATTGCTGACAGTTGTCACCCAGTAACGATGCTAGAACTCTCACCTTTGACTTCTACCCTGTCTGCCTGTCACCACCACACAGTTTGCATGCTACCTTAAGTTGGTGGCATTCTCCATAATGCGCAAGAAATAATTACTTAGTAGTTTCAACTGGGCCCTGATTTTTGGTCACCTCATTAAAAGATATGCTAAAGAAATTGCAGTGTAGCTGAATACACTCACAGACCGTTGTTTCATTTCTTATTAATGCTGTGCATTTAATGAAAGTAGTTAATTGTGGAGTTCAGGGATTGTGTGTGTTGGAGGAAGGAACATTAAGCACCCTTTGCTTCCCTCATATGTCTTTGCCTAGGATCTCTTAACTTTATGCAAGATAAAACTGGGAAAATCAAGTTCAGCCCCTAGGGCTTGTCTGCCTTGGGAAATTTGGGTATAGCACAGAAAATGTTAAAGGAAGCAGAAGTGGTTGGTTGGTTGTCTTGAGAAAACTGCTTTTGTGCTGGGTTTCTTTTCCCTGTCTGCAGGCAGTAGTCAGCTGCAAATGGAGAGCTGAGGGGCACTGAGATGTCAGCGTTCCTCTGTACAATGATGATCTTTATGTGGGATTCTGTCTCAGTAGACATAATATCTGGAAGCTGCTGATGACATTGTCTACCTGTGTGCACTGTCCTTTGTTCGGGTGGTGCCTTATTTTTTTAAGCCTTTAATTTTTGTTTTTCGCAACTCCAGCAAACTTACTGGAAAGATGTTTGCATCATGTCTTGTGCTGTTAAAGTTACCTCGGAGGGTTTTACTCCATGTAGTGTCATGTCACTTTGTTTCTTTCTAATTGAAAGGTTTGTTTTCTCAAAGGGATCTGTCCTTTGGTGCTGTCCAGCCAGTCCGTCCTTTAAACACACTCCAGCAGTGGTCACAGAACTTAAACTGGAGGAGGGAAGATGATGGCCTTGAATGGACAGGAGACGACAATCAGTAACCCGGTAACTCCCCTGAGTGTCAACAGCTTATCCCTTGGGAAATGGGACTTTGCTGTTTTATGTCAATAGTTATTACTTGTACTGTTTTGGACAGTGAGGGGTGTTACTGAGAACTACTTGCATCTCTTGCTATTTGAGGGAGAATGTCACAGGTGATACTAGGAGCTGAGGTTTAGAAGTTGTGCTGCAAATAAATGGGCACTTAATGCACAGGACTTTTAAAACAGCAAGGAAGTTCTTTTTGCCTCGGAGGGTAATCCTTTTTCATACACAGCTTATGTAGATGTCTGGCACGTTTGCAGGACATGCTGTATTGAAAGTGAAAGTATGCAAAGCAGTGTTTTCAGTCCTAATACTCTGTAAACATGGGTATTGCCTGGCAGCCCTTGGAAATGTTTGGGTTTGTTGTGCTTGTAACTTGAGTCTGACCAATTAAACTTGGAATCTTTCTTGGTAGTTGATACCTTACCTTAGAATAAATCCTGTTTTTTTTTAGGGAAGACTTGATCTAACACAATTCAACAATTGCAGAGAGCAGATTGGACAGAATGTTGTTTGCCTAGCTTAGAGAGTCTGGAGACTTTCTCTGAAAATCTCTAGTGTTCTTATGATCTCGAACAGTGGTCTGACACTGGCATATGGATAAAAGGGTGGGCTGGAGCTGTGTTTTTTGTTGTATCTTTAAAAAGGTAGTTCCTTTGAGCCTGCAGGAAATAGTCTTTTTAACGTTCTGTGCTTAAACTCTTGTAAAGTCTGTAAGGTATCTATGTGGAATATAGAGTAGTGCAGATCGGCACAGTACTTTCTTACCTATTATGGCTTTGCACTGACACATACCTGTGCCCTCAGTGAATCTGACTGTTCAGTCCCACTATATATTCACTGCTTGCAAAGTGGATAGAGCTAGGGATGATGAGGGAATAGCTTCAGCCTTCTTCATAAGAACCCAGCTGGGAGGGGAATGAAAGCTCTGTGGAGATTAGATAGGAAGAGTGAATTGCAAAAGGAAAGTTGGTAGATGGAGATTTTGGTGGGAGAGGAGGTGTGAAGAGGAGGATCTGTGTAAGGGAGAGAGTAAGAGTTCAGCAAGATTGGGTGGCTGCAGGGGGACTGATGAGTATGATGGGTAAGAAGACCAGGCTGGAGAATAAAAAAGGGTAAATCTGGGTTTAGGGATCAAGAGCCTAAGGCAGCAGTAAGTGTGAGTATTTGGGATTGGAATGTGGAGGCAGAGCTGGGAAAGAGTGTGCTGATGACCTCAGGGCAGCCTCCAGGCAAGGCAGCCTGCTCTATCTGGCCTTGCTTTGATCAAGGCATTGGGCTAGAGACATCAGAGGTATCTTGCAACCTCAGCCCTTCTGTGATTGTGTCCCCTGTGATACCACAAGATGAACTTAAGAGGGATGGAGGAGGGCAGGCTATGAAGATTTCACTATTCCAGCGGTTGTTCCATGAAAAGCAAAACTTACGAGCTTTATTACAGGTTTCATTCTGAAACGTATTTCTTCACTAGAGTACTGTTCTGAATCATTCAGAAAATCCTGCTTTCCTCTTCATGCCCTTTACTCCACCTGTCTGGCAAGAAATGTTGTCATGTCCCATCTGATGAGGTAGCTGTCTGCTACCCAGCAAGCTGAATGGAAGTTGTGTTATCACAGTTCTTTCCTCTGTAAAACCGTAATCTGTCCTTGCTTTATGAAAACTGGCAGGTATTAGGGAGAACTTGATCTTTGAGACCTCTCAAACTCAGTTGATGTTGACCAGTTGGCTTCAGAGGTAATTTTTGGAAGTCTGGAAGAGAGCCGGGATGCTGACTGATTATATGATGTCACAAACATTAATCTTAATAAATAAGGAAAAATTAGTAGAGGAATGTCTTGAGGTATGAGGAAATTACAGGCACATTCTGTCATAACAAAACCTCGTTAAGGCTGTAGTACTGCACCCAGGAAATGCTCTATTATGGCCTCGCAGATTCCATAACTTAGCTTCTGAAGAGTTGGTGCTCCTGCTTATGCCAGTAAAATACATACGTGAGACTTAAAACAACTTGACCATCTCTGAGTTCATGCTTGAGGAGCAAGTTCTTTAAGTCCATTTTGCCTGATACAGGAAACGACTGCAAATTAGGTTTTGTGCAAAGCATGGGGAGCTGAGAAGGGAAGTGGAGAGGGGGCAGAAAAGGGTATGTATCTACTGGCAGAAGTAATCGACATTCTAGATTTAGACAGTTTTTGCTGTCATTCCCCCTCCCCTCCTCAGCAATTCACAAGAACAGGTGTCAGTAAACGCATTCCCTTTTCATACCTTCCTCTTTCCCATGAATATACATATATTTAAAAAATAAAATCTCACCTTGTCCTTTTATAGTCCAATATTCCATTAAACAGTTATATTTTCAGTCTGTTCATTTTTTGTTGTTAAATTACTGGAACTCTTGTTGACAATTGATGTTTCATTTCAAAGATGTCCTAAAATCTTACACACTGTTCCATAGATAACAGATTTTTTGGGGGAGAAAAACAAAACAAAAACCCCAAACCCCAGCCCAGTCTTGGCAGAATTTTTTGTCTGTTAAGCAAAGCAAATGCAGCATTTGCTACCATTTACTTCCTCCCTCAACCTGAAGCACAAGTGATGATATGCATACTTACGGCTTTACTTTCAGATCAGTCACTTGTGAACTTCCACAGTTTTCTGTTAAGTTGCTCCCCTTCTCTCCCTGAAATAATAGATGCACCATCTGATGGTCAGGGTAGGGGCTTCTGTCAGCATGTCTGAGCCTTTGCCAGAGAGCCTTGCTGGGTGTTCAGGGCTTTTATTTTAACTGACATGTCCTCTTATATGGCTTAACAACTCTTACTGTGTTGCCATTTAGTTTAGCATAACGTGTGTGTGTGTTACCTTCTCCAGCTATCGATATGGAGTTAAAAATGGAACGGCTTTGAACCACTGCATGCTGTAGATACCACAAAGACCAAGACCCCTGAACGGGGCTAATTCATTGCACCTTGCAATTTTTAGCTCATTAGGATGAGGTATTTTGTTGTATTTGTCATGTAGTTTTTACTAGGAAGACACTCTGTGACATAGCTTCTTTTTCCATTACTGTTTTCCAAAATGGAGCAAGAACAAGCAAAAAGGCAGCTGCTGTAGCCTGGGGTCATAAGGGTTGTGGAAGGTTCTTCCTGATAATAGGTAGCCCTTAGCAATGACCTATTTTAAAGTGAATCCTTTTTATACTCTATTAATGAGGCAATAAAATATTATGACTATTCATTTGAGAGCTAGCAATGGGGGCTGGAAATGTTAGTTTTAATTTTATCTGAGAAGCCTTGTTTACATAGGTGAAAATATGCTGAGTTTTTCCATCCTGTTGTGGTGGGTATTTAGTGCTTTTCTACTGTTAATTTTAAATAAAATGCTAGTTGTGTTTCTTTTAATGTGTAAGAGCACCACATAACTAAGCATTATATTATTATTTTAAAAACTATTGTGGTTTCTTCTGCTTCCATTACAAAATGTTATTTAAATATTTTTTTTCTTCTCCCCCCCCCCCTTCTTTGAGATCATTCCGTATGTTGGGACAATATTTGGTGGCCTTGCTCCTGGACAGCTGATTAAGATCCATGGGACTGTTCCTGATGATGCAGACAGGTAGTGGTTACCATATCACTTTATGCAGTGTCACCATGTGAACAGGAATGTAATGAATAAAATGTGGCCAGGGATTCTACTTATTATGGTCAAAAAGGATTGGTCTAAATACTTGTGATAGCATCAGAGTGAATACAGGTTTAAGTGGTTAATTAATGGATGAACTGATTTTTTGCTTTATGTTGATTCTTTCTTTTTGATTTTTGCTTTGCCTGCTTTGGCAGTTGTTTTCCCTGTCATATGTCTCCCTGTCTAATGGGATTATCTGAGACTAATAAAATTGATAACTGGATGTGTTACATGAAGGAATTAACTTAAGCTGGGATAGGTAGGTATGAACTATTGTCTCTAAAGCAGAGTTATCCAGTGTGCAAAAGGCAATCAACACACTCAGTTATTTGCCTTTATTGCAATTCTGCTCAAAAGAGCGTACCAGAAAGCTAACACAGCTGGCATATCTTTTAGGGAAACAGGTAAAGCCTTTTATACAAAATGCTAACAAGGGAGGAATCATGTCAAAGTAAGTGTCTGGTTACCTGCACTTTACATAATGAAATCTCAGTCACGCATCTCTTGATTTTTACTCAGCTCATTATACCAAGGTGGTCCTATACTTATGTATAAAATCTCCTCTTAGAGGTGTGTCTTGTAGTATTATAATTACCTAAGGTAACTACAGATTATATCTTGGTCAGGTACCACTAAGTTCTTGCCTGGCCTTATATCCTCTTATGGTTCTCATTTGAACAATAGTTGGCCATAATGTAGGCATTCACAGCATTCCATTTTGAGGATCTTTCCAGTCTTGTGCTCCCATTGTCATGGTCTTGAGACAGGTTGTTTATTTTGTACACTTTTTACTCCTTTTGACATCAAACTAGAGCATGTGCCTGGTATGGGGGTTCTGTTCACTGACTTTGCCCTAGGTTCATTTGGTTATTCTCCTGAAGATGATGGGAGAGAAGGTGGTGAACACAGTAAGTGAGGAACTTATGTAATGCAATTTATAACCATTAAGTAAGTACTTTAATTCATTGCAAAAATCATGGGAGAGCTTTTCTCAAATGTGCAGAGGTTGGACAAATGTGGGTTTGTTGTTTTCTTTTGCTTATCCAACAACGCTCATTGTGTCTACCTGTTTTGATCCTCCACAGTAAAACACAAGTTTATCAAACTTTTAGGTGATTTCTTGACAGACTGAGCTAAATATGGTTTGTCTTATTTTTATGATTAGGTTCCAGGTGGATTTACAGTGTGGCAGCAGCATAACACCTAGAGCTGATGTGGCATTTCATTTCAACCCCCGCTTCAAAAGGTCTGGCTGCATTGTTTGCAACACGCTAGAGAGGGAAAGATGGGGCTGGGAGGAGATCACTTACGAGATGCCCTTTCAGAAAGGGAAATCATTTGAGATTATCATCATGGTTTTAAAGAATAAATTCCAGGTGAGTCTGTGTCAATTCTTTATCACGAGACAGTTGTTCAAGTCAATAAAAAAGAGGTATTTTGTATAATTACACTGAATAGGAGGAAGCCTTGGTTTCTCTGTTACCTAGGTATAGTCTAACTACAGAAAAGTTTGTTGTAAGTTTTTCTTTAAAGAACTGCTAAATAAATCAGACCTTTAATTTGTGTTGCTTCCCTCTAAGTTGGATGAGTAGCCAAGTAACTTCCTGCCATAGCTAATGGCTAACCCTCCCTTCCCTTATGTGCTGACCTTAGGATAAATATTTTTTGTGACTAGTGTAGGACAGCCCTCTCGGAGTGAATGTGTGAGGTGTATTTGTTGTGCTGTGTTAGACTGCATTAATAGATTCTGTTACATTGGTAATACCACATTGATAAATGATCAGGTGATAGAAACAAAAGGTGTGAAATGCAAATTTTAGTGTAGGCAAATAAATCTCATAGTGATGGAAAAAGACTGAATCATAGATGAGCTGAACTTAGTTGCTCTGAAATTTCTAGGACGCTCCCTGCTTCTGTACAAAACCAGTGTAAAACAGATACATGCATATAATCTGATACATGGCTGGTGTAATGTATGTGTAATATAATTTTCCTATTTTGTTTCCTATCTCTCTAGGTGACTGTAAACAAGAAGCACTTGCTCCTCTATAACCACAGAATTAGCCTTGAAAGAATTGATACTCTTGGAATATATGGCAAAGTGCAGATCAAAACTATAGATTTTGTTCCTGATGTAAGTTATATTGACAGCTGACTTATTCAGTTCCTTTTCTCTGCCTTGCTAAACTACAGAGTAGGATTTTATGGTGAAAAGGAGGTAAAGAAAAGCAGCTACACAGTCTAATGATAGTAACTTTTTTCTCCCGCCTACATTTCAGCATGTGAGTCTCATGTGAGGACCTCTGTGCCTCTGTTTTAGCCTTGAAGCTAAGGGCAAAAGAGTGACAAAGTTCACAGCTTACAAAGTTAATGTAACAGATGGTGTAAGAACTGATGGGATACTGGATCTGGGAGTGCATTAGACTTTTCAAATATTGCAGGATCTCCAGAATGAATCCTCATAATTCAGTGCTTCTGACAAGTTTGGCTACGACTGCAAATTGTTGCTTGGCTTCCAAATGCCAAATTCAGCCACAGCTGGCACTGCTTTTGCATATAACCCTGTTTTTCATGCTAAAATCACTGAGTTGTTGAACAAAGTGTAAAGTAGGAGTGTATGTTTGTTTCTGGGAGGTGAGGTATCTTTTTTCAAAGACTTTGTGGCTTCATTTGCACTTGAACCAAACTTCAGTGCATCTGAAATTAAGCCTGTGCTGAGCTTCCTCAGCTGCCAGCTCTACTAGAGAAAATAAACCAACAAGGAGGAGTTGAACAGTATTTTCAGACGGGGAGATCCTTCTGCTCTGGAAGGGTGAGACTTTTAGAGCAGAAAAGGTGATAAATTGCAGGGAGATACAGAAGGTTAATGCCTGTTCTTTTTCTTCCTGCCACTTCATTAAGGCAGCCTACGTAGTGCTGTGTAATATTCTGGGTTTCTGCTGCCCCATCTTCACTACCCTGTGGGCAAAGCTTGAGTCTCTTACTGCCAAACATCAGGTCTAACTCGGGTCAACAGACTAATAAACTGGGTTGATAGACAGTGGAGATGTGGACCTGAATGAAATAGGGTCTAGGCTTTAAAATTATGCCTATGCACTGAGCATTTGCAAAGCCTGTGCACAGATTTTAGTGGGCCCCATCACTTGGTCTTGGGCGTGTTGCCAGAATAATGTTACTCCAAGCTGTCTGAGGTCTTAAACGAAAGGTCTTAAAGGACATAACTCCCAGAAGAGCTCTGGGGGCAAGCAGGTTCTGCAGGTTGATTTCTGTCCCAAACACAAATTGAAACAGAGTTGTTTTAGTCTATGGTTGCTGATGCTGTATCCTTTGGGGAAGAAGGGAAAATGGAGAAGGGTGATTGTTTCCTTTTTGTCTTTGCTTCAAATATACTCTTCTGAGGAGGAAGGTGGAGGCTTGTATTGAAATAAAGAAGCTGAAGACATAATTTGGCTACAGCAATTGATCTTCAGGACTTTTTCTTGGTTTGTAGGGCTTTGGTTAACTTTTTTTTTTTATCATAGCCCTAATTTTCTGTGTTAACATTTAAAGCTTTGGAGCAGCATGGGTCCTCATATGGTTCTAAACCAACTTCATGTTAAAGTTCTGTGTTGTTAACAGTGACAGCTAAATATCTCTCTGCGGTCTTTACAAAGCTCTCAGCCATCAGCTCTAGGAGTAACAAAGATAAACACAGAAAATATATGTATGTTTGTAAAAGGTTGAATGAATCTCCCCATTATGTGATAAACTAGTTAATGTTGTTTGTTTTCTCATGCAGGGGGAAATGCCAGATGGTTCACAATTCGTAAGTAGACAATTCTCATGTAGACTTGTGGTAAATGTGAAGAGTAAAAAAAATGGAAATAAAAACATCTCAGTTATTCATGCCAAAAGCATGTACAAAACAAGGGGATCGAGAATCTTCTGGGAGATGACTATCTGTGAGGTTTTGTAGAGAGTAATCCTCTTTTCTCTCGCTAGTAAAAGTGAGGCTATTTGTTAAATCATTTAGAAAACCTGAAAGATAAACACAGCATCCGCAGCCATAAACAGAAAAATAAAAAGAGGTGCCTGAAGTTTTAGAGGACCAAATCACATTAAAAAACTTTTTCAAATAAGCATATTTAGCTTTCTCCTTGGTGACTACCTGCAAAACAAAAGTATTCTGCAGTCATCTTGCACCAGATGGCCTTATGTTAACGTGTGTGTCTCAGAACCTGTCTGGCTGCATCTTCCTCTATGCACTTCAGGTGGCTGGATGCCAGCATTGCACCTTAGGGTTGGAATTCACATCCACATAGCAGAGAGCATCGATGGAGTAAGGGCTCATCTTTTTGCAAAAAGCTGTAGAGGTGGACAGTATCCAGGCTGGAGTAGGGACCATGCTCAGACTGAAAAGGGGTTGGAAGCCCAGAATATATACAAATAGAATTTGTGGAGAAGGTGAAGTTGCAGTGAGCACCATGATTTTAGTTGTCTCACTACTTCAGTCAGCCTTATTCAGTCTTCTTATCAAAACCAAATAACATGCAATATTGTCATTTGCCAGTGGTGGACTTCAACCAAAAAGAAAAAGTAAGGCCAGGTATTTCTCCATTCACTCCTTTTCCCTGATTGAAATAACTTGTAACACAACAACAAAAAAAAAGGGCAAATAAAATGTTTGCATTATCTATGTGCTGGTGCCAGGAGGGCAGAATGCTGTTGTGGTTTAAGCCCAGCCTTACGTCAGAACCACGCAGTCTCTGTCTCACTCCCTCCCTTGTCCCCCCACTCCCGGAGGGATGGGGAGGAGAATCAAAAGAATGTAATTCCCAAGGGTTGAGATAAGAGCAGTCCAGTAACTAAGGTATAACACAAACCACTATTGCTACCACCAATAATAATAATGATAAGGGAAATAACAAGGGAAGAGAATAAAACCGCTCACCAGCCACTGACCGATACCCAGCCCGACCTGAGCAGTGATCTAGCCCTTCTGAGTAAATCCCAGTTTGTGTACTGGGCATGACGTGCTGTGGTATGGAATACCTCTTTGGCTAGTTTGGGTCAGGTGTCCTGTCTCTGCTTTCTCCTGGCTTCCCCTCCTCCCTGGCAGAGCAAGAGACTCAGAAAGTCCTTGGTCAGACTAAACATGTCTTAGCAACAACTGAAAACATTGGTGTTATCAGCGCTGTTCCCAGGCCGAAAGTCAAAACCACAGCACTGCACCAGCTACTAAGAAGGAGAAAAATGACTGCTACTGCTGAACCCAGGACAATACTCAGTGACCCTATTTCTAGTACTTAGGCAACTGTGGGACTGAATCTTATTCTTTAAAGCATTACTGAAGATTTCAGAGAGAAGAGGTCAGGATGTCTGTATCTGTATAATTATATGATACAAACTTAAATTAGTGCAGGGAGTTTTGTGCTTACTTTTTCCCCCCCCTTCCACCATTAGTGATGGCAGAAATGTTTATTTTGAACCCAAATTGGTACTCTAAAGAAAAAAAAAATATTGATATGTTTATCTCAGCATAACTTGGTGCTGTAGTTAAGTTCAGTTTGTATATTTTAAAAAAGTAAATCAGTAAAAATTTTTACTGGTGATGTACTTCCAGACTGTTCCTTATGTTAAGAAACTTGATACAGGACTTCGTCCAGGATGCACAATTACCATTAAAGGAGAAGTGAATAAAAACCCAAATAGGTAAGTGTTGCTGATTTTTTTTTTTTTTTTTTTCTTCTATTTAGCTGAGCTACTCTTGAGAATGAGTAGGCTTTTTCATGCCTCAGTATATCCTTACTCATTTACAACTTTGCATCTGGAATCATCTGAAACTACAGTGCAGTTTCTCAGGAACCTGCAGGATACTGCTTTAGAGAGGACTTTATGAAGAGCAGCTCCCTTGTGAAAAGTGAAGGTAAAACCTGAGCGTCTTACCTGCTCAATCTGCATCATTCACAAGACTGTGTGTCTGTTCAGGGTTTCCACTGTGTGAGGCATGTGAGCACATGTCATACAAGATAGCTTTTATTCTTAAGAGATCAAAGAGCAAGAGAACTAGTAGAAGTAAATGGAAAATGAGTGAGGTGAGATGTTGGTGTGCTCAAATGCTGCATGTTGCAGCATTTCTCTGAGTATTTCTTGATGGCCTCCTCTGGGACAGCATTAAGCATGAAGGTGCCTGACGAGTGATGGAAGCTGGTAGGGCAGTATGAGCTATAATTTTGATAGCAAATTAGGAACAAGAGGTTGCCAAGAAGAGATGATTTAAAGGAGGGTGGGGGTAGGGGAAGTGCAACTCTGTCAAAATGGAGCTGAGGAAGTGTGGGTGCTTCAGCATGCCCTTTGCTTGAAGAGTAGTTTTGGCTCTGTGAAGCACGCCTAAAAATGAATCAATTAGTGCAGACAATGAGAAGCATGCTTTTTACGCTGTGTGTATGCATTGCATTCCTGCTTCCTGAGAGCACATAACCTCCCTGCAGCTGAACAGCACTCAGAGTTCATATTTATACAGGAACCCAAGGACTAGAAATGTCAACACTGTGTGAACGACTTTAAATTGGACAGGATAATTAATACTTGCATAGGAGCATTTGTTTTCAGACTTTTGGCTTGAAAAGCTTAGTAGCTCAGCTCAAATGCTGAACGTACTGCTTACAAGTGTGAAGAGGCTTTTGGGTGTTTAGTTAAAACATTGCCGGTTGCTCTTTGTGCTTTTAAGTATATAGAGTTTGTAAGTTATTGAATGTCTTTCAGTTCACAGAGTTATAGATACTCCTTTTCCTTGGTGAAAAAGAGAGCTTCACAGCTTGCTATTTTGTACTTGGACTAAGCAATTCTAGCCTTCTCAAAGGGCAATAACCTGGCAGCTGGAGCTTATCTGGGGGAGGAATATTTCTTCTTCAAATGCAGTAAGGTCTTTGCCACATGTTGAAGTATTCATTTGAATTTGGATGACTTTTCCCTCTGATCAGTCTCCTCCAGACTTCCCCTTTAGGCGCTCTGTGTTGTGGACATAGCTGACATTAGAGAGTATTCATTCAGCCTGGGCACAACTTACTACAAAGTAACACTGTATGCATTGTGTCCCACGACTCTTAAATGTACAGAAAGAATCTTCAAACTTTTCCTTGGAGTCTAACTAGTTTGGTAGCAGAAAGACCATCTTTAGGCAAAACAAGGCTTCCAACTCCACTGCCCGAGTTAAGAGATGGTGGAGCAAGTAGCACCACATGGTTCTGTGAGGATGCTGCTTCCTCATGCTGTAGGGGAGCAGCACTTGGCCCTCTTGGCTCAACACCTCCTTACTGAGAAATTAACAGAAAGCTGTGAGTGATGAAGGAGATCTAGCAGGGTCATGTCCTGCATCTACTGCTTGTAGCCAAGTTTTCTGTGTGAAAGAGGCATGTTAAGTGCTTGCTTGGTCTTCAGGTGAATCACAGTCCTGGCTTCCACACTGTTCTGAATATTGGCTAAGGATTCGGTAAGTAGCATGTAATACTGCACTGTGTCTATAAACCCTTGGTATAGTAAACCTAAAATTTATCTTCCAGCTTTACAATAAATCTGAAACCAAGTGACTCCAAGGACATTGCATTACATCTGAATCCCCGAGTGAAAAATAAAGGTTTTATAAGGAATTCATACCTTCATGACAGCTGGGGAGAAGAAGAAAAGGAAATTGGCAATTTCCCTTTCAGTCCTGGGATATACTTTGAGGTAAGGTTAACTGAAACACAGCATCAAACTGGTAATTTTATCAAAAGGATTAGCAGTGGTGCTTAAATATCTTGTCACTAATACAGATTTAAATAAAACTGACATTCCTGCATTTCAATGTCTTGAGAATACTTAGGATTAAAAGGGAACTGTAGGGAGCAGAGATTTCACTTGTGTTTAATGACAGCTTTCTTTTTAAATAGTTGCAAGAACTCAGTCTGTGCTCAGAACAAATTGTAATTGAAATGAGTCAGACTCACGGGTCCCTTCCAACTTGAGTTATTCTATATGGATTTTATTGAAGTTTTGCTTATTTTAAAATGTCTTTTGCATGAAACGTTCCTTGTAACAGAAGCAGGGCTTGCCCAGGTCTAGGCTAGATCATCAGGTTCGTTTTCCATGTCTTACCTGAGCTTAAAACTTAACTGTTACTTTTCTTGCTTTTCAGCTGATCATTTTCTGTGATGCTCACGAGTTCAAAGTTGCTGTCAATGGTGTTCACACTCTGGAATACAAGCATCGTTTTAAACAACTTGAAAAGATCAACACAGTAGAAATCATAGGAGATATTCAGTTGTTAGATGTGAGGAGCTGGTAATATTTCTCAGTCAATACTAAAAGAATTAAACCTCTTTTAATAACAGTGCCTCCTTGTCAAGTACAGACAGGTGCTGATTCATGCTGAGCCTGCCTTTATCTGTCTAGGCTTCTGTGTCTGCCTCTCATGAGGTGAGTACCAGAACTGCTAACTGCAAGATTAAATCCTCCTCTACTTTACAGTATCCTGGCAAGCTAAGTGTTTGCTCAGATAAATCTCCTGTATTACTGAACCTAAGAATATGAAAATGCTGCATCATACTTCATCTAACAATTGCACTTGGTGTGTTCAAGTTAAACTACTACTCAGCATTCCTTGATAGCATACATTCAATATACTGAAGCAAAACTATACTGAAGTAGGATCTTAAGATATGGTTATCCACACCACAAATAATTCATTTAAAATAGAATTCTTAAATATACTACTTATATTAGCACTACTTTACTAGTTTATATTAGCAACTATAACCTTTTGACTGAGGTGGATTAAGGAAACAATTGACCCATCAGTTCTAGCAAAAGGCAAGGAATTTTATCTTCTGAGCCTGCTGTGCAGTAGGACATTATCTGACACCTTCTGCTTGTAAGTGTTTTAAATCAAACATAGAGCAGCATTTCTAGATTTTAGTTTCCCAAAGTGTTACAAATGAAAATTATTTCACTGGTAGCAACTGTGTGAGCTTTTGAAAGCTTGTTTGATCTGAAATGGCTCTGAACTGAGTTGAGGTTGCTCAGGGACTGAAATGGATGTTTGCTGTTTTCACTTAGAAAAAATAAATGTGTGAACCCAACTACTCCAGGCAGGGTTTCAGCTGAGATATAAGACTCAGATACTCATCAGTGGAACAAAGAATGAATCCTTTTTCAGTCTTGTATTAAAATACTATCTGAAACAAGCTGTTTCTGTTCAGTTTTCTGTACAAATGTCAGTCTCAATTTTTATACTTTTAAAATGTTCCTGGCTGTCAATACATGTATGAAGGATGTTCATATTTATCTTAAAAAGAGTGAAGCAATTTCAAGAATAAGGTGTACCTTAAAAGACTGTTTAAAATTAATCACCAGATTTAATGCATAAAAAGCATAAATAAAAACATTTGTGAACTCTGCCTTTCTCTTAATGTAGCTACATAGCTATTACCCCTTTTTGGTTTATATTTTGTCTTGCGTTGCTTATTATCTTACTCATATCTCCAGGGTGGCACAGTGATTGTGTCTGGAAGACCACTTCCCCATTGAGGAGTTAGTGATCCACAGACCAGTTACCCTGTGTAGGTCTCGGCTGTGCTGGTGTGTCCTTCAGGAGAGTGTTGTACTGCACGATCAACTTAGCTGACTGATGGTAATGGAGGAGCCAGTAGGCAGCTCCCAGTTGGGTGTCCTTGCCTTTATCTAGGAGTTGAGCAGGAAGTTCTCATGTGAACATTCTTTTTATTTGACAGCAGACATGATAAATAGTTGTTTTCTAAGAAAATCCTGTAAGAGCATGAATGACCACAAAGGGGCAACCTTGCTGTAGAGATCTGCATGGCGTGCTATACCCTGAACAGAGGCCCGTTCCCAGCACTAGATGGGACATACGAGTACCTTCTTTAGTGTTCTTACCAGTTGCATTTTAAATCATACTTTAGAATTTCAGTGCCTTTCATATTAGTGATATAAGGAACCAGCACCTCCTGGTGCAAAACAGGTGGTGAATTTTTTGGTACATTTATTAACAGTGCAAACAATTTATTCTTCAGATAAGTAAGTGCTATTGCTTTAGCTTGTCTTTAAAGACTAAAAAAACATGAATCCCAATTTATTAGGATTTATATGAATCCTAATTTATTGTAACTTTTCAGTATCTTCTGTGGCTTTACTTTTTGCTTCCCTGAAAAGACAGAAAAGCAGATTCTCAGTACTGTACCCCAAACATAGCAGAACTCAAGTGTCTTGCGTGTCACTCTGTGCCCTATCAGAATTTGCTTATAGCTTGCTCCAGTCTCCCACTGTTAAGAAAAAAGCAGTTAAGGAAAAGTCATGCAGAAAGTCCCAAGACCATCCAGAAATTACAAAGCCAGATTCTTACAATGCTTTATTAAAAAGTTAAGATCTTAGCTCTGATAAAAATTAGTATGACTGACTAATTTTGCCTGTAACAGTAGCCTGTGTGAAGCTAACATGATTCAGACAAAAATCTGAAAACAAAGGAAATCAACTTAGAAGTAGCTTTGAAGTGGTTCTCCTAAAATGACTTCTAGTTGTTGAATTGTCTTCTGACACAGCTGTTCAACTTCTTCACACTCATCTAGAAAAAGAAAGCAAGCAGGAATTAAATAAAGCAGCCACTGAAAGCTACCCTAGGAAGGCCTCATCACTCATCAAGGCCAGAACTAGCTTGAAACACCAGGTATGAAATTATTATTAAAAAATACTTTGGCACTGCCTCAGGACTTGGGTGAATTATTTCTATTGTAACACTGATCTAAAACATGGAACTAGGGAGATGCGCACACTGAAGAAACTACCATAATTGAACTTTTAGAATTGTTGCATGCAATCCACTTCAGTTTGCATCCTGTGCAGTTTAACCTACTGTATACCAATATATAAGTTTTACAGCAACTACAGAAATCATACTGTCTGAACCTTTGAAAAGTGACCCTTATTCTCTTTTTTGTCTTAGGCCAGTTGTCTGCACCAGTGCCACTTTAGAACATTACCTTCCATGAGTTCAGCTAAGAATGGAATGGATTCAGGTAGCAGGACCAAGTAGTTCTCTTTCAGTTTTTGTGCAACTTCTACCAAAGCAAGCAGAGCAGCAAATCGGACCTAAACCAAAACAGTAATCTTTGTAAGGAAACAAACATTTCAGTATAATTCTGTTTTCTCCCCTGCCTGCCTCCACTTTCTTTCCATTGAAGGTTGTAAACTAGCTCCTGCTACTGAAGGGAACTAGTTTTACACCAGTTTAAATCTCAAGATTTGGGTTAGGGTAATGTGAAAGGAAAAAATAGGTCGCAAGAAGCAGGTAAGTTGATAAAATTGTCTTGAACTTCCTGTTGCAATGAGACTGTTTCAGTGTATCAGAAGGACTTAGCTCATTACAATGACAACCCAAGCACTCCCCCGAAGAGCTACAGCCTGTCAAATAGGAGAGCATTGACAACTGTATGTAGTAAAGTCTGGAGATTTATATATAAGTGTCTTCCAATTCCCCCTCTTTTTTCTTACACAGGTTTTACTCCAACAGCTACCCAGTCTTTAAAGAACCCAAACCACACAGTGTGGAAGCTATCCACATGTGGAATATTGACTGCCTACAGTAAGAGCAGAAGGCCATCTTGTTCACATCTCTCTATGGCCTGGGAGTAGCACAGTACTCCCAATACAGTATCAGTATTTTAACTTAGGTGAGTATTTTAGTAGTGACTTGGCTAATCCAATTCTGTTTTCAGATACACTGTTCCCATTTTCTAATGCAACAAAAAAACAGTTTGAATGCTGACAGCTCCCAACCTTAGAAGAGGTGTGCCTCATTTTCAGCAGGATCTGGTAGTTCAGTGGTTTCCAAAGAGAATCATCTGCCATTGCCACTGCAAACTGAGCTATGCAGGGTATCAGGTGCGCTGTCACTCTGTCCTGGAACTTCTCATCTCCTCCAAGTGTATTTTCTAGCTGTGGAATAAAAAGCTTGTCAAACAGATCCAAACAAATCAAGCCAAAAGCACTTCTAGCTTTGGCTTTTAAGTACTCAAGAGTTGCATCAAAGACCATCAATGGGAGTGCAACTGGTCTGCAAGAACTCAACAACATGCATGAACCTTACAGAATGACGATGTTTAGAAAGAGGATAAAACCATAATTCAGAGCCTTAGGCAAAGCAATTAATACTGTTTTGTCTTTGGGCCACAGACAATAAATTAATTCCTCCCTTTTTAAGGGAGAGGACTGAGGTGAGGTTAAATAGGTAAAAATAATAAACCTTTCAGATGGGGAAAAAAAAGTCAGTTTTGAATTGTTTTTTCCTGTATATGTCAATACCTGATCAACCAGAGGCATCATCAAAGTTTCTGCTCTTTCCTTACTCAGGAACTTCTGGGTGTCAAACAGGAAGAGCTTGTGCAGACAATTCATGGTGAACTGCAACAGCAGACAGCTCTTCTCTGTGCTATTCTCACAGTCAAAGAAAGCTTCATCTATATGTCAATCAAGAAGGGGGAAAAAAAAACAAAACGTAAAAAAAAAAAATCCCTGAAGCTTTCCCACAAGATAGAAACATCATTCATTTGTGAATATAGCTAAAGGATGACTACATAGCAATTATGTACTCATCACTCAGAACAATAAAGATGCAATATATTATCTGGCTTTTAGCTAATGCCCTAGCAGGTCTGGCACTGCTGTTCATAGTCAGCTGGGGATAAAAGGGACTAGACATGGGCTACAGGAAGCCACAGGCCATACCAGTGGATGTGGAGAATTTCTTCACTACAAATAGGATAAGCAAGTAAGTTTCCCATACAAAAAACTAATACCTATTTTTGCCAAGAAAGCAGAGGAGTCTGAATACACCAGGTAACATGTAAGAGAAGTCAAAGTATGGAAAAACAAGAAAGAAGGCTGAACAAGTTGTCCTTTTCCCACACAATTTCATTCTAATGGAATTCACTGGGACTGACATTGAAAATTTTCATCTGGTCTCAAGTTTGTACTGGCAGTCCAGAGCCCATGGATGAAATATGTCCTTTTGTTCCACTAGAATAAGAAAGATGCCTTATTTATGAGATAAAGAAGAAATGAGGTATGTGCCATGAAGTAAATCCTGTAAGACTAAAGTTTCATCAGTTATAATTAACCTATTTCAGCAATTAAATTAGCCTGCCAACACTTCTCTATAGTTAGTAACTGAAAACTTACCAGTTTTAGAAACATTGACCTGGTTCAGTGTCTCAGCAAATGGCTTCAATAAATGACCAGCAAACAGGGTGAAGAGGCCCTTGAGCTTGTCTGCAATGCAATCTGCTATTCGGTGGAATGTCAGTAGTCTGTCTTTTAGGGCAGACTCTGTTTTGGACCAGTCAAAGAGCTGAAAGTGGAAGTCAGATTAGCTCTTTACTGTGTCTGTCCACTGGAAAACACAAATGTGCTGATGCAGATGTATTATATTTAAACTTCTTACCTTAAAGAAGAGGGGTCTGAAAGAAGCCTCGGAAAGTTTCATAACCATACTTATTAGACAATCAATAATGTAAGTCTCTGTCTTACCAACTTCCTCTAAATCATCCTGGGAAAAATTAGAAAAGAGAATTCCAAGTTTGAAATGTAAGACTTTCAGTTTTCAAAGCATATTTTAGTTTGTTTCAGATTAAATACCTAACTGTAATGTTTTCTGCCCCAAGAACAATTCTCGAACGTAGAGTATTTGATACCCAGAATTTCCAAGCACAAGTGCCATGGAAACTACTAATATTTTTTTAAAAACAACTGATAGAATTAGCACACAGAGGTTGAGCTGCTGTTGTTCATCCCCCTAAACAAGCCACCTTGGCATGATCTGTTCTGAAGTCCAGGGCTTTCATGAAAAACGCTGTCAGCTCAGACTGATGAGAGATCAGGTGCTCCTTCTCCATAGTAACAATGTGCTCCTTCAAAATGTTCATAAGGGGAACCAGGCAGTTCTGCAAAACAAAAGCAAAGCAATGCAAAGGCAACTGTGATACTGATAGTAACTGAGAAACATCATAACAACGAAATAGGATTTCAGCACTTCATACATTTACTCATTAAAATACTGTTGATAAAATAGATAAGCTTTTTCCTATAATTTTGGAGGGTTTAAAGTAGTAGGATTCCTGAAAAGAGTCTGGTCTCTCTTGGTTGAAAATTATGACTCAACTTGTGTTCCCAGCAGATAAATCAAAGCCTTTATGAATGGACAATCTCTCAAGCATTCATCATCTAACATGCTAAGGATATTAAACTGGTGCATTTCTCCCAGGTCTAACTTTCCTGAATCACCACTGCAGTACAAAAGAAAACAGAGATAATATAAAGACTGTGCTAGGTTTGGCTGGGATGGAGTGAATTTTCTTCATAGCAGCTCACATGGTGCTATGTTTTAGAT